GGGGTCTATTATACTCTTATAATTCCTCAAATTTAGTATGTGTTTGAAATTTTCCATAATAAAAAGTCAGGTAAAGAAATGTGCATAATTTCAAAAGATACTGTCAAACTAACTCAGATGAAATTGTTACTTAGAGAAAAAAATAATTTGGAGAAAAAAAAATTACTCATTGACTTAGAAACAAATTTAATGGGTGGGAATCATGACAATATACTGCCTGTGCTGGAATTTCTACCCTTTATTTCTAGAACAAGTAAGCTGAACTTCAGCGCTCAATAAATTCTAGGTTAATCTCTATTTTATATTAAAGCCTTTGGTCACAGATGAAATAAAATAGATCATCTTATTTTTCAAAAAATTGATCTGATTGCTCCAGTGGACCACTGACCACTGACAGATTAAGTAAATGTTCAGGTAGGTTGACATTGATTTATATTTGCTATTTAGTCTGAACCTTCCTTATAAACTCTCATCTATTAATAATTCTGAATGGCCTTTCAGAAGAATTGAAATAAAAATGAATGGCAATGGACCTTTCTAACAGAAAAAAAGGATGTTATAAAATATACTAGAGAATTAATTTGTAATTTAATTTTAATTGATTTACACCCCCCGCCCCAAGTAGCGTGCCTTCAGTTCCTTTGATGCATAGGTTACAAATCCAGAATAATTCAGCCATCTGTAATTTAGTTCTAAGCTTCTGGTATATTGTGGCAATGGGAAGATACAAGGTCAGTTAATGGGTCAGGCTGTCATTCAGTCAGTGGTGCCTTGCTTTGAGAGTCCCAGAAGACAAAATGCACCTACTGGAGCCCAATGCAGCCAATCAAATAAAAATTAATGAGGAAATAAAAACATCTTTCCATCTTGTGCTCAATAGCTTTATTTTATTGACATGATCTACACGGAATGCACTAATACTGTATGAACCTACTATTTTAAGCTTTCCAAAGTGCCTTAAGAATATTGAGTTGGCTTCTATTAATTTAATAAGTTAAAGTCACATGGTCATAAGCTTGTCATGGCATTCTCGAGATTGTTTTTCCGTGTACTAGCAAAGAACACTGTTAATTCCATCATCCGTAGTCATTGATATATCAAGGTGGCATTTGTTAAGCTCCCTTGTAGAGAATAAGGAATGTACCTTGAGATCCAGGGAAATAAGAGGGTGTGTGTTAGATGGACAAATGGCTGGATCCCTGTTCTCTGAGCCCTGTCCTCTTCAGCTGACGATTTTACATTTTCTCAGTCAGCACACTCTCATCTTCAAAGACTACAGTACCTCTGTGCTTTATCTTTTTCTAGGGTTATTTGAAACTATTCCTGTGAAGACATAAATATTCTATTTTGAGAAGATTTTCATACTCTTGCACTACTTAAAAAGGAAAAGTCATCTCAGGAAGTCAGATCTGGGAAGTGCCATAGTGATCATTTAACCTAAACACTCACACATAAACAGGAATTCAAATCCTGAATTTGGATGGACACCATTTGCACCAACTTACTCCTGAGACTCATGTCATTAATCACAACATTGGTCTGGCTTGGAAGAGTTTAAATGTATTTTTATACTCAACAAATATGTGTTGAGCTCCCACATGCCAGTTACTATGTTGGGCTCTGTGAATCTAGCAATGGACAGAGGAGATTAAGTCCCTCCACTAATAGAACTTATGGTGAACAAGAATAACGGGGGGATTGGGGGTGGGGTGGAAACACAGAGAACCCACGGGCAGCCTCATTTGAGATATTCTGGCTGTGAAAATTATGTTCCTGGCCATACAAGAAAATTCCCTTCTCCCATAGAATGAAAATATTTCTATCTGTATCTATCAAACACATTTTTTGTTATTTCAAATTAAAATAAACAAGAGTCATGGATTTTCCTCAGAAATTTGTAGTCGCTCCCACAAGCCATGTATCACCTCAGCAGGTGGCTTCTCATCTAAAAACTGAGGGGCTCGACCAGGTGATTGCTTGGGCTTTTTTATGCTTTTTAGACTCCATTCAGCAGAGCCTCATGGGTGACATCTATTTCAGTTCTTTTCCTTGCTTCTCCAACCCCTCACCTGTCCTCTGTGGGAGTGGCACTTTAGTTTCTGTATCTCCTGGCTCTTCAGACTCTGTGATATGGCTGTGACACTGTGATAGGGGCCAAGAGCCATACCAATCCCCAGAACACTGTAATCTTCTAGCTTTTTCTTCCCTTTTAGATCCAGAGAGCCGAGAACTACAAGACCATCCATCATTGTGCCAGAATATACAAGAATGTTAAAGGTGTCCACTTCCTGCCCTTTGAGGATCATTTCTTAGCCTGGTTGTCAGAAAAAGAAACCTTGCCAAGACTTTTATTTTTCTTTCTGGTGCTATATTTGCTGTACCAAGGATAAAATATCAAGGTCATAAGATACTAGGACTCAGAAAATCACATAGTAATAAAAAGAGAGGCTGAACCAAATAAAAGAAAATATGGGAAAGAAAGAGGGAGAGAAAAGAGGGTAGTTAAAAGTTGTTCAAAAAAAAAAAAACACCTTAAAGATAAACTGTCTTATACTTTAGCTCAACTTGTCAAATAGGGTATTGGAAATACTAAATAAAGGGTTTCAACAGGGCCAAGCTTTGCTTAATTTGGGGTGGTATTTATGTTAAATGCCACAAAGTGTTGGCCACTCTTTATATATACAAAAGGGACAGTGTGGGCCACAGTGAAAATGACCTGTGTTGGCTTGCATCACTTGCTCTGGATTAGAATTTGACTGGGCTGCAGCCCCAGTATTGTCCCAGGCAGGTTTACATATAAATAACAGAGGATGTACTAGCTGCCAATTAGGAGTACATGGTAGATCATGCAGCTGATAAGTGGTTAATAGTCTCATTCTACAAGGGGGAAGCAATCTCCCATGCAATGGCCCTGCTTCTCTCTCCTCCCCCTACCTTAACCCCTCCCTGTGCTGGAAGGGTCAATGCAAGTTTGCCTTCCTGTTAAGTCTTGTCCGGGAAACTGCAGTTCACAAGGGCCACTGCTGTGTTTGAATGGACTCATTTATCAATCATGTTCCATCTTGAAAGCTTATGTTGTTTACTTGCAGCCTTAGAGTGTATTCATATCTTGTCTGAAGCCACTTTGGGCATTACATTTTTTTTTGTTTGTTTTTTAGTTTTTAATCTTTGGGTGTAACTCTATGTATTGAAGGTGTTTCACTAGATTTGTTCAAGATTTAGTTTTTCTTGAGACTGTCTCATACACACACACACAAAGCATAATTAACTTGAAGAAAAATTTAAAGGATGCTGAAGTACCCTTTGACTCTGTTCTCTTCATTCCTCGTGGAACCACAGTGTTCTGTTCTCCAGCCTTATCTTCCATTGAGGCAGCCAGAAAATAGAAATCTTAAATAGTCATTTGCCGTGGTCCGACTGGGCTGCCTAAGTCCAGGCTGGGCAAAATAACCGAGAGGTGACAAGCAACTTGAAGGTTGAAGCAGGAACTACTTTATTGCGAGTGAACTCAGCAGGAACTGAGAACTCAAAGTAGCAGGCACCGCTTCTCTGCGGGACAGCAGAGGTACATAGACCCAACTAATTACACACAGCTTAACTTAATTGACATCATCTAGACACAGCAGCCAGTCGTTAAGGAATCCTCATCATCTTAATGGCTCCCTGGCGTTACTTCACAAACCACTCCTCCTAGCATACTGCCAGGCGCCATCTTAACTTGGTTGTGGCCCTCATCAGTCGTTGACTGCTAACTTACATGACAGAGTAAACGCATGGACATCACAGACCTCATTTTCTTATATGTAGAAAAGTATTACAATGATCTAGTTTTTTAGACATGTCCATGTGACAGATTGTTATTTAAATTCAGTTTCAATCTCTTCAGAACTTTGGAAGAATGAAATCTTTTCCAGATCTTCACAGGTAGGTCAATAGTTTTCTTTTTCACATGATAATGAGAGCAACTTTTTCCATTCTAGAAAAATCTTTGTAGGCCTTCCTCTACATAGGATATGACACACTGGGTTCTGGAACCCATCAATCAGAAAGTTGTACTAAATAGCAAATCATTCTTCTAAACTCAAAGTGGAAACTTCACCAAGTATCCAGTACTCTATGCTGTCCTTCTAGCGTGTTCTGGTGTTCTCCATGTACCCAAGGCAGGGGCATCTGGCATTAGTTTGTGGCTCATCCTTCCTCATAATCAGGAGAGATTAGAGCCCTGGAAAAAAATGGCAAGTAACGTCGTTCCTTCAGACAGCAGAAGTATTAGCAGAACTACCATTTCTATACTTTCTGACAGCCCTTCCTCTTTCTCAAGGTCTGGAAAATATATATAAAAGTATGTAGCCAAACGCAGCAGAAGTTGGAAAGGAGAAGCTTTGGTGTTTCAAAAAAGAAGATTTCTCACCCCTGCTTTTAAAATGATTTCAAATTGATGTTTTAAAGGTTATTATACCAGTTGTTAAATTTTTAGAATTAAAAAGGAATATTTTGTATGCACATAATAGCGAACTCCTCCTGCATGATTAGATGCAAAATATACCCCTAGGCTGTTCTCTTCCATTATCTGCAAGTAATTGTCTCTCTCTCTCTCTCTCTCTCTCTCTCTCTCTCTCTCTCATCTCTATGTCATCTTGCACTGCCATTTCTGTTCCTGAGACTCTCTTTTCTTCCTAGCACCATCTTCCAACTGCCAAAGGGCACTGATTTTGAAACAAATGTTTCTGGCTTTCTAACTTAATTTCTGCCATTGCTGTGGCCATGACTATTTCACATTTTTTTTTAAATTATGTGACACGATGTAAAAAGGTTTATACTGAGTGAAATGACAGATATGCCCTCACCTTTGAAGCTGCTTTGATCAAGTTAGTTCTGAATTGAGCAGAACAGAGGCATTTGATTTTTTTTAACCTTGGAAATTACATTTATGTTGTATTTAGGAGGCAAAGGAAAATCAACTTTAATCATAAAATGCTTGTTTTTCCTCTCTTACTCAGGCCTACCAACGCCATCACTATGACCGATGGGGACTATGACTATCTGATTAAACTCCTGGCCCTTGGAGATTCAGGGGTTGGGAAGACGACATTTCTTTATAGATACACAGATAATAAATTCAACCCTAAATTCATCACTACAGTGGGAATAGATTTCCGGGAAAAACGTGTGGTAAGTTTTTAATCTTACTGTTCACCTTGTTGCTTCTCATCCTGTATAAAGTAAGAATGAAGAAACTACGTATGTGGCACTGAGAAGTGTCTTTTATCACACGGAACTCATATCCTGACTCTAGAGTATTATTTACTTCTTTCTTTTTTTTTTGGCTATAAATAACATTTTGCTAGAAAAATATTGAATGGCATAATCTCTTGTCTTCAAAGGTATACAAGGCAAATAAATAACTTTTGGATTTGTGTAGTGTGTTTCCTATGAATTCTTTTTTAAAAAATATTTTTTATTTTTTAGTTGTAGTTGGACACAATATCTTTAATTAATTCGTTTCTTTTGATGTGGTGTTGAGGATTGAATCCAGGACCTCACCCGTGCTAGGCAAGCGCTCTACCGCTGAGCCACAACCCCAGCCCTCCTATGAATTTTTAAGAAATTTTTCCAAATTTGAGTTATTCAGGATCCAAAAAAAAAAAAAAAATTAACTCCTGATCTGAGTTAAATTCATCAAAAAGACCAAGTGTAAGTCTTGCTTGTAACAAAGAGGTTAAAATCATGATTGTCAAATAGCTGGAACATGAGCTCTGTAAGTTCTTGCTGCATTTTTATGTACGTGGAGCCTCAGCCATCAATCACTGGCTTATTATGAACAGAATGTGAGACCGATTTCATGCTCTTTTCCAAGATAAGGGAGTTTAAGTGAGAATCACAACCACCCTTCTCCTATGCTAGACACTAATGACAGGAATAAGGATATTGTGACATGTGAGACATGCAGCATAGGCCCATAAGCTTAGCCAGATTTCTTGCCACCCAAGTTTTCCCGACTGCCAAGATGGCTGTGGCTCCCAGTTGATGTCACAAATCCACTCATTCCTTGAGAATTCAGAAAGAAAACAAAGGAAATGGGTGCTGGAAGGCCACTGCCTGAGACTTTGAGTCATGACCCGTACTTTATCTCAAAGTCCACACCTTGCAGTGGAGTTTAAGCAAACTTGCTTGCTTCAGGTTAGCTTGAGTTCTCCCCTCCCCAATGTCCTCACTCATCTGCATATAAAGCCTTGCAAAATTTTCCCTTGAAGACATTTTTCACTAAGCCAATAAACTTACTTAAAAAGCCCCTTTGAAGAAATGGCTAGTTAAAAGAAGGCCTGAAATGTCCTGTGTTAACTTACTGAGAAATTCTGTGTATATTTCACAGCTCAGTTATTTGGAAAGTCCATTTCCACTCTTGATGAAATTCAGGTATTTGTAAAACACTTTACTGTTTAAAAAAATACTTTCCCCTTTGTAATTTCATTTTAGTTTGCAGTAACTCTGCTAAGCAGGAAGGGATTATAGGACTCAGTTTGCAGATAAAAATATTAGACTTGGGTTAAATGAGGGGTTGATTTTTGAACCTAGAACTTGTGTCCTAAATTTGATGTTTGTTGCCTCTATAAGGAAATGACAGAAAGTATCTAATTTAAGTTTGCAATATGGTTAAATGGCATTGGAAATCATACTTGAACTTGACATTTAAAAGTTATATATGTAATTTGTGGGAAAAAATGGAGCAAATATTTATTCTGTACTATGAACTTTGATTATAGTAATCAAGAGAAAACATTGATGGAACCCAGAGAATTAGAATGTTGACAAGAATCCAAAGCAGTATTAACTGAGGGGAATTTTATCTTTCAGGTTTATAACACACAAGGACCAAATGGATCTTCGGGGAAAGCATTCAAGGTGCATCTGCAGCTTTGGGACACTGCAGGACAAGAGAGGTAATAGGAAATCTCTTTGTTTCTAGTGACATATAGCCCAGAAAAAAAATTATTTTAAATGAATGCTGGATATGAACTTGAAAAACAAATCATATGCTACTATTCTCCTGGTGTAAAAACTGACATTTGTTTTGGCCAGGGATGGGAGTAACCAGGGATTGAACTCAGGGGCGATTCAACCACTGAGCCACATCCCCAGCCCTATTTTGTATTTGAGACAGGGTCTCACTGTGTTGCTTAGTGCCTTGCTGTTGCTGAGGCTGGCTTTGAACTTATGATCCTCCAGCCTCAGCCTCCAGAGTCTCTGGGATTACAGGCGTGTACCACCGTACCCGGCTTAAAAATTGACATTTTCTTGAGAAATAAAAATAAATGATTTCTAGTTAACTAATCATACTAGCATTGTGGAGCTCCTACAGATACAGAGATCGGATTCAAGTAAATTTGACTCTGCTTCTACTAGGAAAAAGCCTCTCCAGGGTTACTTGCATGAAGATGTGAAAATGCTGTTATAAGCGCTACTTGAGGTGGGAGTTGACAGACCATTCTCCTCTCTTCCTATTCTTCTGTGAAGCCTTGGTCCCCTGCCAAGTGACCGACTTGACTCTCTCAGATTTTGGTTATATCTTTGCCCTCCATCTAGAATCTTGAACTCCCTTCCCACCTTTCTCAATATTCCCCTGTCACCAGGCCTGGCTCAAATTTCACCTCCTCGTGAAGCCTCTCTGAGCACCCCAGCTGAAACAAACGGCCACTTTTTTCTGAACACCTGTGGCCCCTGTCTTACCCCCTTACATTACTAAATTAATTAAATACCACTTTGTAAAAAGGCAAATCTTCTATTTCTACCTCGAACTGCTCTATATTGATTCTCTTGTGGTTTTCTCATCCCATCAAAATTTCGAGCTTTCTAAGGGCAGAGACTTTATCTGGGGCTTCAGCATCAGCCCCAGTACAGTGTCCAGGATCATGGATACTCAGTACCCAGGAGTGTTGGTTGCTTCGAGCTGGAGGTATCATTCCATTATTTAATAAAAATGCATTTCTTTGGTTTCTTTTGGATCTAATATTTTGAAGAGTCAGAGTTAATAAAGCTTTTCAACAATGGATCAAAAAAAAAAATTTAAATCGGCAGTAGATGGACAGCAGAGGTGTTGAGAAGGTACATACCTCCAAATCCTGCATCGCGTGTCTTAGAATGCTCATGCTTGTAAACACTTCCATTTTTGAAATGCATCCAAAGTGTTCTCACTTTCAGTGGGTGTAAATGTCGGGAGAGGTGCTGGGCCCTCTCCGTTAGCTTTTTTGACTGTGAATTCCATTTACACACACCCTTCAACACTACTGCTTCCTCGGAAGCTGCTCCTCCTGCGAGTCTCGGTTCGTGTGTCAGTTTTGTTGTCACCAAGATGGATGCTGTATAGACCAATTTAATTCATTTTTGAAGAAGTAATAGGAGAAAATGTGCTTCCCATATGTCCTCGCACATGAGATGTCAGCATAGCATGATGGCAGGCTTCTCTCATCTGTCCCCCTGAGACAGCTGCGCTGTGAGGGACATGGGGAATTCTAGGGGCAGTCTTAGAAACACTTGGGTTACTCATCCCCTGAGAATGCAGCGTTCTGTGTATGTGGGGCGTAGCTAGGCAACGAGATCAGCCATGCCTCACACCTAGGCCCTGTGCCTCAGGACATCTGGCAGGATGATCCGTGTTCGGTAATGATTACTGATGGAAGTTACCTCGTGGGAAAGAGGAAAAACACATGATCCTTCCGTGCACCTAAAGGATATGGGACATAGCCTTAGTGCCAGGTGAGAGAGACAGAACAACAGGTGACTAACTCTGGCCTCTGTTTCGTTATATGGTCCTATCTCTCTTCACCTTGCTGAAACCCTGGGCAGAATGAGGCAGCGGGGGTTGGGGGACATGAAACTGGAAAGTGCATTTCTGTTTTCCCTGGGGTGGAATGAAGGTTAACAGGAATACTGGGCAGAACAGACCTCAGAGTATCAGAACCGCCCAGAACCAGAGTGTCCTGCCTACACTACTGTGAAGGAACATGGGACCAGCCCAGTCTGGCCTCTACAATAGGTGTGTTTTAGAAGGACTTCTTGTGTACTGTAGGCAGCCTGAGAGGGTGACAGTCTTGTCCTCAAGAGAGAAACATGCACACTCAGAGAACAAAGAACAGTTTTCGTAGCCACGTCACTATTATGGTTGGGCAGGAAATGATTCTGTGGGTACAGCTAGTCTTCAAAGAGAGAGAACCATTCAACAAAAGCACTGTAATCTCCATGAGCTCCCAGCGAACAATAGAAACAAAGTCACAGAGGGAAAAAAAATGAGTAAATATTCTTATATTTTATGCTACATCTTCAAATCACGATCATGCTCTATGGAAGAAATAACTACTTTGGGGAAACAAATAGTAGCTAAGTCATTGCCGCAGTCTGGCTGGGCACACAATCACGAGCCACCACACAGCTTGTAGATTCAAACAGCAACTCTTTATTCCCGAACTCACACCAGCCGTCTACAATCACGTTCTGGGGAAATCCACGTTCTCTGCCCAAATCCACCTCCACTGGGCTTCTATCTCCAAAATATACTGTCTGAATCCCGTGAGAACTCAAGGGGAACTCAGGCAGCAGGATACGCCCTATTCCCAGCAGGAATAATCTTAAACCTTAAACCTGGAACCTAAACTGGGAACGCCCTAAACACGATTATCTTAAAACCGGGAACACCCTAATCTGCCTTGGTCCTTGAGCAAGGTCACTTACATTCAATGTCACTGCAACATGTCAGCAACATGGGGTACGCTGGCAAGGAAATTGTCATACCTACTTGGCTAATGGCTCCCAGCAAGTCATCTCTTTCCCCCTTCTTTGGTATTAAAAGTAGCATTCTCTATGGAAATCATTTTAAATATTTAATATTTTTCTATCTTTATTCTCATTTTCTTTCTATTTTTCTGTTACTCTCTTTAATCTCATAAATATTTAAAAACGAATCCCTCAATGGATAGTGAATCAGAAACACAGCTGCTTTCCCCTCGGAGAGTCCAGCGTAGGGTGGAAACTGAACAAACAAATGATTGCAATTCTGCCCTAGAATAGTGACAAGGAATCAAAGGTAGTAAGTGAGCCCTCCAGGAAGAGGCTGTCACCCAGATGTGGGTGCTGGGGAAGCCCCTGGAGGAATGCTGTTTCCTCTGGTGCCATGTTTATGCCCACACACAGAGTATGAGTGAGGGTGATCCACTCTAAAAGAAGGAAAGGGGAAAGGATGCCTTAATGTGAGGTCACCCACCGAAAGACCAGCATGTGTGAGAGCCCGGGGAGGAGGGTGAACTTTCTCAGAGCTGGAGAAGCTCAGCATGCCTGTGGGAAGTGAAGAGATGGAGCTGAATTGATGAACAGCATCTTGTCCCTGCAGAGCCCTGGCAGCATATTAAGGAGCTGGGGTGTTAAGAGCCATCTATAATTGTTAAAACGTTGGTAGCAGAGTAGTCCTCAATATGAAGCAATGCGGGTACCAAAACCAGAGTCATGCCAGGGGAGAGGGACAAAACTGAGCAGGTCAAGAGGTTTGTGTCACCTCCACACATCGTTTGAAGGAGACAGAAGTTGTGGCAGCCAGGTCAATGACGATGGCACTGACAGGAAAAGAAATCAGGAGGAGGGGCTGCTTTGTTTTTGGACATAAGAAGTTGGAGACACCTGAGTTTCCCCCAAGTGGAAATATCCAAGTAACTAGGCACCTAATGTGAAGGGCAGGAAAGATCTGGATCTATAAACATTGGATTTCTCAACAGATAAGCTGTCACTGAACCAAAAAAGTAAATGACATGATCTAGTGCCTACTTACAAAATGAGAAAAGTCAAGAATAGAACTTTGAGCTGGGTGTGGTGGCACATGCCTGTTATCCCAGCAACTCAAAAGGCTGAGACAGGAGTATCACAAGTTCAAGGCCAGCCTCAGCAACATAGTGAAACCCTAAACAACTTAGTTAGACTGTTCCTCAAAATAAATAAAAAGGGCTGGGGATGTGGCTCAGTGGTTAAGCATCATTGGATTCAATCCCTGGCACAAAACAGAAAAACAAACAAATTTGAGAAAACCAACATGAAAGATCTTTTTAGACTAAAATAGGAAATGAACAATTGGAGGACATTTAGGATAGAAGGTGATATACGTCTCCATTTCCAATTCAATGCCTTTCCAAAATCCATTGTCAAATTCAAAACCTCTGGTCCCTATGTGTGGTCTGTGATTTTGCCCATTGCTAATGTCTCTGGGGATCTCAGCAGACCTTCAGCTTCCCAGAAGAAGTTGTGGGGCTGGAAGAGAAGCAGGAGAGAAAAGTGTCCCCATTGCACATAGAAGAGCATGTTCTTCAACATCCTCATTAGAAATGAGTGAAGAACCTTCCTCCATCTTCTTAGCCTCTTCTGTCCTGACCCCCTCTGGGCATCCTATTCATCTTCCTCTCCTAAGAACTAGATGCCAGCTCAAAGCTCCATTTTCCCCAAGGAATGCTTTAAAAAGAATCAATTCACCAAACATTTTCCTTACAAAAGAAGTCTAGTTCCAACTGCTAACAAGTTGTGGTTTTCTTCATATGCTTCCAGGCATTCATTTTCAGGATTTTTTGTGCCAAGTTTTCTTCTGGGCACAGACAAGAAAAATTGAAAAGTATAAGTTTAAGTCCCTGCTCTCTCAAGTGGCTTACATTCTAACTGTGGACCATGCCATGCCCATGAACCAAGAAGGAAAACATTCCAAGAGGCTGCGTAAGCAAGCGTGGGATTGACTATTACAGACACAGTGCATATATAAGTGCCCAGGGCCTATAAAACCAGGACAACCAAAGTCTGGCCTGGCCCTCCTGCCATCTGTCTGCCTGCTTTCCTCAAAGGAGGAAGCCTTTGCAACTTTCTAACCACCATTTCTGTAGGATAATCCAGCAGGACCAGCCATGGAGACTTCACACCCGAAAGGGAAACAGTGTTGTTGGTTCCATGATCATAAGTCTGTGGACTAACTCCCCAATCCGCCCACTGTGCTTTCTCGCAGGTTCCGGAGCCTCACCACCGCGTTTTTCAGAGACGCCATGGGCTTCTTGTTAATGTTTGACCTCACCAGTCAACAGAGCTTCTTAAATGTCAGAAACTGGATGAGTAAGTGGGACTGAGTCATGGGTGCACTGGCTTGTTTGACTTGGGAGATGCGGCCAGGTTGGGTACCATGGGCTATCTTTGAAAAGGCATAAGAGTTTAGTATTTCCTGTGTCACCTTCACAGTGGTGGCTTCTACTTGGATCACCCAAGGTAGCTTGGAATCACATTTTCCTTTGACCCTGTTCCTGGAGGAAGCCTTTGCAGCTTTCTAACCACCTATATTTAAGGTCTTTATTATAGTAATTAAAAGACTATTAACACCACTTGTCTAGTAAGTCTTGAATGACTTGTTATAACTAAGTGAGCTTCCACTTCTGCAGCCCCTCACCTGGGGAGGGCACAGAGAACAAGAGCAGCGTTTTCTGAGATGGGGACATTAGCCCTCTGATGTGTTCAAGCATGAAAGAGTTAAAGTGGCCAGGAATTGCTCCAGGACAGACAGACAGCTGTGTGAGGGGAAGGCCTACCCCATCAGTCATTCAGCTCACATTGGAATTTGCTTCTCAAGCAGTTAGTTGTTCCAATGTGAGGATCCATTTTTCTGATATAGGAAAATCTCCAGCATCCATGGTCACCTCGAAATAATACACAACTGAAATGCTGCCTGATCAGTCATAGAAGTGGAGTGGAAGTGTCAGAATTTGCCCTTATTTATTTTTTTAATTGACATGTAGCACAAAAGAGACTATTTCATTCACAATTTTTAGGACAGATAAAAAGTTTGATCTAATGAGATGCACAGCAGCAGGCCAGATCTGTTGCCCTGTGGGCTGGTTCTGCTCTTGTTCTTTCTGGATTTGTCTGGGCTGTCTGTGGCCAGCGTGATGCTGGGTTTTGTTTTGTTGTCTTTAAATTGGATCCGTTTTTCCCCTGCTGAAGTTCTTTGACTTTCCATTTCACCTGGAGGAACATTAGCAGAGTCCCTGAGGTCCTCCTGAGGCCCCTGTGATTATATCTGACTTCTTCCTCTTCACTTGTACAGGGCCGGGGCTCCCAGGCCAAGGGTTGGGGGACATGAGTCCTGTTCCTGCCGTGGGCCTTCTACTTCCAATTTCCTCAGTCTTTATTTCTCTCCGTTTTTTTTTGTTTGTTTGTTTTTGTTTTTGTTTTGTTTTGTTTTACAGTATTTTTACAGTTATTTCTTTCCCAAGATTTTGTCCAATACTTTATTTCTTGGGAGAGGCTTTTCCTGACCCACAACCTCATCTAAAAGGATACTTGACATCACTGTTTCCCCCCAACACTCTGCACAGTTCCTTTAGTCACTGTCACCACATGTCACTATATTAAGTATTTTTGTACTTTTGTTTTTGAATCTTTGTCCCTCTGGAATATAGGCCTGGGAATGTGCACACTTGGTCTGTTTCATTCCATTGCAAAGTCCAGAGCTTGGTGAGCAATGGGCACAGAGTAGATCGATCGATCGATCTCTCTCTCTCTCTCTCTCTCTCTCTCTCTCTGTGTGTCTGTGTGTATGCATATTTATTTCTTTTACTTAAAATTAGTAATATATACTTAATAATTAAAACCTAAAAAAGCTTTCAATGTGAGTTCAATAAGAGTTGCAACCAATGGGCAAAACATCAACAGATTTCTATCTTTCTTAATTGTTTCTCCAAATGAGTGTTTATTCTGGGATCTGTCTCTATTTCCTTTTAATATGTATTTCCCTATCCCAATTTTGGTGGCATTATTAGATTCTGAGGGGACAAGAAGATAATAAGATTATTAAATTCTTTCCAGAGGTTGATTTATTTGTCTTTTTTTTTTTTTCAAGGCAGATGAGACTCTTGTTTTTAAGTCTCCAAAAGGATAATGTTGGGGTTTAAGATAATCTAGTTTTGTTTTGTTGTTTTTAAATTGGATCAGTTTAAAAACAACAAAACAAAGCTAGATTAATTATCTTAAACCCCAACATCTAGTTAACACTCCATCTAATTAACACTTTAATGTCTAACACACAAATAATTGATATTATAGGGAAAGCCTTTGGTTCTTCCTGTAGTTTTGGCAAGATCCTACACAACCAACACTGCTTAAAGTAGGTATTAAAGTAGTCTCTGATTTAGAAAACACAAAGGGACAGATTTCTTATCTTTTTCTTCTTTCCCCATATCTTCCCTCCCTCCCCTCTTCCTTCATTCTTCCCTTATTTCTGTCTGTCTGTCTCTCTCTCTCTCATACACACACACACACACACACACACACACACACACAGAGTATTTTCTTGGAGAAAGCAGAAAAACAAGATACCTGTCCTAAAATGAATTATGATAGTTCAAAAATGTTCCATTCCACTGATCACCTCTTGGGACAACAGAAAAGGTGAAAATCTAGCAGCTTCCTAATGGAATAAGCAGATTTAAATAGCTTCAAATTGTGTTCTGGTACCTCCGCTTGTATCTGGGGAGCAAATGGTATGCGGTGGTATGCTGAGCTCTGGGCATTTCCCTGGATGTAGAAGAACTCAGAGAGGTATTGATGCAGGTACTTCTTGGACATTATTCACTGTCTGCAGTTTGTGAGGCATTATCTCCATTTTATAGACAAGGAAACTGTGACTGAGAAGAGTAAGGGACTTGGCTAATTACTAGTAAGCAACCAAACTGCAGATGAACAATTCGATTAGAATCTGGAGTATGAGCAGTCATTTGACATTGCTTGTTTACATCTAACTTGCTGGTTCCATCTGCTTCCTTTCCAAGGCCAACTGCAAGCAAATGCTTACTGTGAAAATCCAGATATAGTATTAATTGGCAACAAGGCAGACCTGCCAGACCAGAGGGAAGTCAATGAACGGCAAGCCCGGGACCTGGCTGAAAAATATGGGTAAGTCAGTTCCAGCAAGAACGCTTTGACCTAGAGCTCTGCTGCCCAATGAGTAGAGCAGACACGAGATTGGTGTTTAAAGGATTCTCCTTGGATCAAGAACAGGATGTGAGCTGAAAAAGACCCTCCAAAGAAACATGTGATGGTTTAATGCTTTACTTAATAATAATAGCAGGTGACATTTACTGAATTCTCATATATGCTAGCAACTGTTCCTAGGATTTAACTCATTTAACTCCTTATCATCACATGGAGATACTGGAGTAATTCCATTTTGTACATGAAAGATTGAATCACTAAGAGATTAAGTACCTGATAGAAGGCCATATAACTAGTAAGGAGCCAGAACTTAAATTAAGTTCGGACAGCTTATGATAGCAGCTCATGTGCTTAAACAGTATCCAGTTGCTCAATAATTACACAAGTCTAAAGAGGAGTACCTGACATGGACATGGTAATGTAGCCCTTGTCCTGAGCTTGAATGACACCTAGAAACAAGACCAAAAAGAAATCTATGTACTTAAAAGAGGACTTCCACCATAAAATTTGTCATTAAAATCTTTTAATTTTTTTTAGTTATAGATACACACAAAACTTTTATTTATTTATTTCTCTGTAGTGCTGAGGATTGAACCCAGTGCCTCACCTGTGCTAGGCAAGTGCTCTACCACTGAGCAACCATCCCCCAAATTTGTCATTAATTTTTAAGTTTAAAGCAATTTTATACTATCTGCCAATTTTGTACTAAAGGATTCTTATTTGGAGTTGTAAATTTTACATCTCAGAATTGTTCATTCTAAATAAATATAGGCTGCATTCACGTGGATATCCATTCAGTGCATGTCTCATTTCTAAATTAGATTTTTAAATGATTGATTGGAAGGGAAGTAATATTTTCATGGTAGTTTCAGTCACAAGTTTGGGCATTTCCTCCCTCCTATTTTTTAAAAGAATGATAACACCTTGGCTTCAACATCCTGACAGCCTCCTGCAGAGGTTGCCTTGTCCATAAAACTGATGATAGCCATCCTAAAGATCAGCCCACTAATTTTTACTTAACTGAGAAAAAGCAAGGATGTTTTCCAATGTATCCTGTGAAAACACGATTTCACAATCTCTCTGCCAGCCATGTTTTTGCATGTGTGATTTCTTCCTCTTAAAAATATTTATCATTAGCATTCTGTGCGAGAATTCTGAACATCCACTTTTCTTGGCATTTTTTGAGACTACAGTAAGCTCCAGAAGTGTATTATACGGCAGAGTGACTCTATGTAATAATGATAAGTCGTATTCGTGAAAAATGCACACAGAGAGAGAGAGAGTGCTAACATAAAAATGATAACTGTGTGAGGTAATACATTTGTTCATTAGCTAGATTTAACCATTTCACCATGTATGTACTTGAAAACATTTTTTAATAGGATGCACACGTACAGTTTTATCTGACAATATATATGTGATCTTTTCTCTGCTAGCATACCATATTTTGAAACAAGTGCTGCGACAGGACAGAATGTAGAGAAATCTGTGGAAACCCTTCTGGACTTAATAATGAAGCGAATGGAACAGTGTGTGGAGAAGACACAAGTCCCCGACACTGTCAATGGTGGAAATTCTGGAAAGCTAGACGGGGAAAAGCCCGCAGAGAAGAAATGTGCCTGCTAAACTCTACCTAGGAACTGATAATCAAGAACCCCACCCAAATATTCCTCCCCAAAGCAATGATAAGCCACACAATCATTGTTGAGTAGACCATGAACAAAGGCATGTCTTTCTTTTTCTGCCAGATCTGTTTTAAGAAATCAGAGTAGTCAACAGTGTTCGAACAAATTGACCAATTCTCCTTGAGCCCCTTCCAAACACAGATTTTTTTTTAAGGTGATCTCACCATCATGGATGTTTTTTTTTTTTTTTTAATAAAGAAGTTGAGCATATAAGAGAAAATATAAGAAAGAAATGTTGGTGAGTTTTAAATGAGAACAAACATTACCTTTTCACATTGGAGAAGGAAGGATGACTAAAGGTGAACATGGAAAGTTGCCTTTAAAAAAGATTATATTTACTTTTTGTACAGAATCTGATACCTAGTTCCACATTTGCATTGGGGAAAATATAATAGCAACAATGGTTATACAATGACTAATTCTATATAGCTCATAAAAGAATGACATTACTGTGCATAGCCAATAAACGACACTAAAATGCTCAAGTGCTGCTAGGGTTGTGAGAGGGTGATTGTCAGATTTCTGCGAAAATGAGGAGATTGCATAACAATGTCATTTTTATATTCCTAACAAGTGGCAGATAGACCAGAACAGAACTATGATGGCAGAGTAGAAGTGATTGCCTAAAGGAGAAACGAAAGTATGGGGATATGGCATTTGGACAGCTGAGATTAAATGTATCTGTCCAGATGCCTGGAAAAGTTACTTAGCCAAATTTCACTGAAGCCAATTAGAAGCTGACATTATTCATTGGAATTAGGAGGCTCTCCAGAGGTTTCTATTTCAAACAAAATGTTAGGAATCCATGGGGGTGGTGTTCAGCTTCATGTTTCATTTTCCATAGCATATCTTGATAAATAGTCACAAGGAGAAATAAACTGTTGCTGTTTACAAAGTATCTCTTTTAAAAATTATTGTCAAGAAAATCTATCTAATCTTAAATTTTTTAAAGAAACATAAAATGTGTTGGTGATATAAAACCAAAAATGACTATCAATTGTGGGTTTCCTTTGTTTACAAAAATCTGGGAGACTCTAAGTCACATACCTTCCTTCAACCTTGGCTTTGAAAACCATTGCAGAAAAGCAGGTGTATCATTTGTAGATCCGCAACTTCAGAATAAGGATGGAGCAACTCTGTGGTCACTCTGGATTTTCAAATGATTAATCACATAGAAATTGAAGATATCTCCTTATTAAAATGTCTTTTTTTATTTTGCCTAAGGCAAAAGAACACCTATGGTTGGAACTGTAATTGAGGAGTGAACAGGAACAGAGCTCTATCTTATCTCACCAAAATTGTGGCAAATTGTTCTATTTTTTTTAATATATATATATAAGCTGTCTTTTCTTTCTAAGTATTGTCACAAAGTATTTTCCATTGGCCAGTTCTCAACATCATCTAAACTAATATTACATTCATTTTTATCTCAGTTTCTGATATCCATAAGCATTCCTATAACAATATTAAGAATGTTATCAATTTTAACAAAGGCAATGCAATACAATTTTCCATTTTGAGTATAGGGTTTTTTTAATAGGATGGCTCCTCCTCTTATATTTTTTTCCAGCTACACCTAGTTTTTCCATACTCTATGCACATTTAATTTATTAAATTATATACATTAGAAACAAAATACCAGCACCTTCCCCCTCGTCAGTATCATAAGCATAGGCAGATCCAAGGGAATGTCTGTTTGTAAGGTTCACAGGATGGTCTAGACCCATCAATGTGCCTCAGGTCAGAACGATCTGGAAGCTTTGATGGGATCAGTCCCCGTGTAGCTCTCAGTGCCCAGCACCTCTGACTTCTGGAGCACCACACCAGCTTCTAAGATGGATCATGGTTGGCTTTCCCTTACAAAGGTATTTTCTCTGGAATGTTCTTCAAAATCTCAGTGCCTGTGCCATGAAGATAGAAAGTTATTACTTAAGATATTTCTTCTGGAAAGAAAGTGGCGGGGAATGATATAACCACTGCTGTGGCCAATTTTGGTGAACTTTTGTGGTCATGATAATTTCTTCTTTGGATTCCAATTGTGATGTCCCCTGCATTTTCCTAACAGGGAATGTTTGTTCTTTATAAAATGCCAAAGCAATTATTTTGTTTTGATATGTCTTTTAGTTCCTCTTCATTTTCCAATTACATGATTGATTTCCTTATGCCAAGATTCTGTCACTGTCAGTTATTTAATGAGTATTTTTTCAGGGTCTGTTTTAAGATCATTATTTGATAGCTGTAGCATGAAGCAGAAGGTGATGGTGCCTGTAATTATAGAACTATGCTTGTAAAAATAACAATTATTGGGTAACAATCTCAACAGGAATGAAATTTAAGACTGGAAAGAAATTAAAATATTATTCTACTTACAAATAAAACCTTGTCTAAAAAAATATTTTCTCAGTAAAATTTGGCATCTGACCCAAAATCTATGTAATCCATTGTTAGAATGGGATCTCTCATTATTTCAGTATTAATAGCTCTGTATTAATTCATTTTATAATTTCAAATTGATCTTCTACTATGATATGGAACTCCATGTTTTTATATTCCAGAACAGCATATATTTTTAGCCACAATGTGTCCTGTTATTAATTATCTCCCAATCAGAAAACCATAGTGTATTTTGGAGACCTACTTTAAAAGTACATGACTCCTTTCTGATACAGAATCCATTTCTGTGGAGTTTACACTGGTTTGATGTTTACATTTCCCTAACTCAGTGCCGCAGATACCTCTGTGACCAAATTCGTCTCCAGCCACATAGCTCACTTCCTCTAACCTTGTGTTTTAGGAGGGCTTCACAGAGACAGTCCTCCCACAGCTAAAGGTCTTCTGAGATCTTCAGCAAAAGATTCAAGGACTTCTTGGTATCTGGAGACAACCACCACCTTCTCTTCATTTCCTAGCTTGCTTCTCGTGGATGGGCATTCCTGGATACTCTTGATTTGTGATTAGGTACAAGGCTGTGGTTTAATGTAAAAACAAGTCTTTTCAAAAATGTATCAAGAGTTGAGAGAACACAATGTTGTCTTGATCTGCCGACAAATGGGAGCAAATGTTGACGTAGCAAAGAAAATGCTGAGTGTTGGGAGTAGCATTTGTGTCTCTTTCCCTAAAAGTCTTCAAGCTTGTAAGTCAGCACTCCAGCCAGTTGTGCTACCATGCCCATATTATCAGCTATCACACCTGTTAAAATTTTTTTTAAACCAGCATTTTTCTAGTACTTTCTTTGTTATTTTTAACCAGATGGGCCATTCTGTGACTCAGTGGGTCTTTGTCATACTTCTACAACAAGTTCTTTTTGTCCACCTGTTTTTTAACAGATAAAATGAACTGGACTCTCCTTTTCTTGTTCCCTTTATAGGAAAGAGAAGTTTGACTATAATGAAAGCTACATTAAACATCAATTCAATAGCAGACACTACAAGCTCTTTAAGCTGTACATTGAGTGTGCGGGGACTCAACGAATGTAATGAAGCCCATGCATCCTCTCGCCAGTGGGGCAAACTCAGAAGTTAGGAGCAACATGGTGCATGGGTGTGGTGAACAAGTAGGCACAGGTGTGACCACGAATCCTGCCCCATGAAATGAGGTCACTCACCATTCTCCTTCTCTGCTCACTTTGGAAAGGATATGCATCTCTCAACTCTTTGTATATCACACCAGAAATTTGAGCAAAGATCCTCATACATAAAGGATTTAGAGTGATACTCTAAAACTCAAAATTATAAAAAATAATATTCCAAGTCTCTGGATTCCTAAGATGCTGAATAACTTTAAAAGGAAGATTTGAGAGCTGATGTTAGCCAAAGTGTTAGAAGAGTTCTTTCACCTTCTACTCCTAAGCTTTACAGCATTAGAGGAAGTCTAGTGTGTTTGCATCTTTTAGAGAAAATATAAGCTGTATAATATTTAAAGATGTCAAGATGCTGGCTATATTTGAATAGGTTGTATAAGAATTTTCCATAAGCTATATTTTCTTAATTTTTGAGATATCAGCTTACTTCTGGGGAGAGTCCTGAGTTCTTAAACATGAAAATGGATGTCGAATATTATCTGAGATGAGTGTGGTCTCAGTGCTTTATAAATCTCTGAAGCTGCTTATCTCATAATGTAGAGCTTTAGATAAAAGTTGTTACATATACATAGGAGATTTTCTAAAATTATTGCCTTCAAATTCTTGGGTAGAGACCCAACCACAATGGTATTGGTGAGCAAGAACAAGGAACAACAACCAAAAAAAAAAAAAAAAGAAAAAGTTGGCTAAATCATACTTTTCAATACAGCATAACATGGAGAAGGTCATATTGACTTTTAGGTAGAAAATAAAAACAGATATTTGTAACCAGATTTATGGAAAATATTTATCCTTTTTGTCTATCAGAGTTTATGCCCTTATAGCTAAGCTAATAAAAATAAACACCAGATATTTCACTATGTCATCAAAATTTTGTATACTTAGAGACATTTATTCACTGTATATGATGAATCCAATACTCTCATAAATGGTACTTTAATTTCAAGGTGTAGCATCTTAAAGATGTTTTTCTCCAAAGTTCTCTGTATAATTGATGCTTAAGATGTTTTCTAATTTCATATGTGGAGAGAAGATTGCTAACAAAAATAAACAAAAACATTAGTACCAAAATAGTGGAACTATTTAAAAGAATGCTACTTTTTTGGGAAAAATATACCAAGAAATCATCTTTTAATTGAGTGGTTTGACTTTGTCTTCCTAATCCCTTTCCTTTCCCAAGGAAGTCATGGCAAATAACCCCTTCGCTGACTAAGGCTTTAAGGATGATTAGCAAATTCTATAGAAGTCTACATATCTGACCTTAACTGAATAGATCCCTTATTGAACCTGTGGCTTCCATCTTTACATCTGTTGGCAAACCAAAATATTACCTGTCTAGCAAGCTAATTGTGTATGCTTGTGCTTATTTTTTCCCAAGGGATATTTCTCTCCAAATGTTCTTTGAGAGAAAGCTAGTGTTTTAGAAAGAATAATGACCAGAAAGAACAATTTGGGGACCATGGGTATGTCATTAAATATCTTGGTGGCTTCTCCTCATGTAATGTTTATAAACCTTGAGTGCCTCCTAGGGTTTTTATGTAAGGCTCAAAAGATAAAATACATAAGAAAGTCTTGAAAATTATGTTCCGTTTCCCAAACACATGCTATTATCACAAGATAATAACAAATGAAATACACAGTCTTAGTTTGAACCTCTTGGGGTAAGAAGTATAACAAGGACCACACACTAATTTTAGTAGGGGTATTGGAAACTAAAAATGGGCCAGTGACCTCAAGGTCACTGTGTTTGATTGAAAACATTTAATTAAAAAGTATGAGCTCCATTTTAATCTGTATGTCCTCTTGTATTTCTTTCAAAGAAACCAAGTATATTGTAGGTAGTATAGTACAACTTGGTCAATGTCCTTCATGTATAAATAGGGCTTCTGTGTCCATAGCCTGGTAAGATTCTGATTGTACTTGAAATTAAGTAAAAAAAAAAATTATCCTGCTTTAGTTCCTTTGTTAAAAATAGACAATGTTCTAATCACATAGCACTCAAATGCTTCACTGTATCCCAACCATTCACCTTTCAGTGACCTGACTCTCATTTTTAAGCTAAGCATGTTTGTTTTGTCGATCTCCTATTCGGATCTCTGTTTTGTCTAATGCTTTGAATGTAGCTTGAAATTTTAACATGGTGTCTTCATTCTATATGCCCCTGAATAGACTGTGGTTCCTGACAAACACTGTTAGGTCACTTTTTCGTTGTACCAAAGTTCTAGTGGCTTCAGAAATCATAGCATCCAATGATTTTTGTGGTGTCTGGGTTTGAATATTATGGTTGAGAACTGTACTCAGTGATTGTTCTGCACATTTTTCAAATAAAAAATACATTTTTATCAATTATTTTATGTACTTGGAACACCTTTATGTCTTGTGCTGAAGTTGGAGGTGTGGTAGGTGGGAACATTAAATCGATATCAACATGAACTTGGTATCACATTAAAAACAAAATCCATCGGCTGGGGTTGTGGCTCAGTGGTACAGTGCTTGCCTAGCACGTGCAAGGCACTGGGTTCGATCCTCAGCACCACATACAATAAATAAAATAAAAGAATTGTGTCCAACTACAACTAAAGAAAAAATAAATATTAAAAAAAAATGGAATCCATGCGGAAGTAGGAAGTAAGAAGTGATTTGAGCTCTGCCTCTTGGTTTTTGTTTCTCTCTCTAAACTTTCTCATTAATTAGTTCAATACTGGGCTTTGCTAGTGAAATTTTCTAATAATTTTGAATGATACATTGATTAAAATTAACTATAAAGATGTCAAAGTATTCTGTGCCACATAAGCCCTTCCTCATATTATTACACATATCTTCTTTCATAGCAAAATGCTGGGCAGATGGTGGTATCTCCCTTGGCCATAGACAGGTGAAAGTCAGTTCGAGGAATTCTAGACCACAGCCACACAGCTTTCTTTAAAATGTTCATTTGCAAAGACTACCTTGTTCCCAGAGTGGACCTCGCCCATATGCTACTTAGATTGGCTTTGCCAAGATGATGATGAGTTTTTAATTTAAGATAAACAACTCTCCCAATGCAAGCAAATCACCCCGGAACCATTCCTTCCACTTTGCTCCCTGGGAACCGTAACGCTGTTTCACACAGGCACGTTCATTTGCTGCTGGGTTCATTCATCTTAAACAATTCAAGATAAATCATTAGAGCCTTGCTTTCCCTAAAGATTGTATAGGATTTTTAAAAGTCATCGCATGCCCCACATTGAGGAAAAAACAGAGCATCCCGACTTTCACATCATTGTACAATTTCTGGTTTTAAAACTTTGTGCAAGATTTTTTTTTATTGGTTGTTCAAAACATTACAAAGCTCTTGACATATCATATTTCATACATTAGATTCAAGTTGGTTATGAACTCCCAATTTTACCCCAAATACAGATTGCAGAATCACATCGGTTACACATCCACATTTTTACATAATGCCCTACTAGTAACTGTTGTATTCTGCTACCTTTCCTATCCTCTACTATCCCCCCTCCCTCCCCTCCCATCTTCTCTCTCTACCCCATCTACTGTAATTCATTTCTCTCCTTGTTTATTTTCCCATTCCCCTCACAACCTCTTATATATAATTTTGTATAACAATGAGGGTCTCCCTCCATTACCATGCAATTTCCCTTTTCTCTCCTTTTCCCTCCCACCTCATGTATCTGTTTAATGTTAATCTTTTCTTCCTGCTCTTCCTCCCTGCTCTGTTCTTAGTTGCTCTCATTATATCAAAGAAGACATTTGGTATTTGTTTTTTAGGGATTGGCTAGCTTCACTAAGCATAATCTGCTCTAGTGCCATCCATTTCCCTGCAAATTTCATGATTTTGTCATTTTTTAGTGCTGCATAATACTCCATGGTGTATAAATGCCACATTTTTTTTATCCATTCATCTATTGAAGGGCATCTGGGTTGGTTCCACAGTCTAGCAATTGTGAATTGTGCTGCTATGAACATCGATGTAGCAGTATCCCTGTAGTACGCTCTTTTAAGGTCTTCAGGGAATAGTCCGAGAAGGGCAATAGCTGGGTCAAATGGTGGTTCCATTCCCAGCTTTCCCAGGAATCTCCATACTGCTTTCCAAATTGGCCACACCAGTTTGCAGTCCCACCAGCAATGTACAAGAGTACCCTTTTCCCCACATTCTCTCCAGCACTTGTTGTTGTTTGACTTCATAATGGCTGCCAATCTTACTGGAGTGAGATGGTATCTTAGGGTGGTTTTGATTTGCATTTCTCTGACTGCTAGAGATGGTGAGCATTTTTTCATGTACTTGTTGATTGATTGTATGTCCTCCTCTGAGAAGTGTCTGTTCAGGTCTTTGGCCCATTTGTTGATTGGGTTATTTGTTTTCTTATTGTTTAATTTTTTGAGTTCTTTGTATACTCTGGATATTAGGGCTCTATCTGAAGTGTGAGGAGTAAAAATTTGTTCCCATGATGTAGGCTCCCTATTTACCTCTCTTATTGTTTCTCTTGCTGAGAGAAAACTTTTCAGTTTAAGTAAGTCCCATTTTTGATTCTTGTTATTAACTTTTGTGCTATGGGTGTCCTATTAAGGAATTTGGAGCCCGACCCCACAATATGTAGATCGGAGCCAACTTTTTCTTCTATCAGGCGCAGAGTCTCTGATTTGATATCTAGCTCCTTGATCCACTTTGAGTTAACTTTTGTGCATGGCGAGAGGAGGGGATTCAGTTTCATTTTGTTGCATATGGATTTCCAGTTTTCCCAACACCATTTGTTGAAGATGCTATCCTTCCTCCATTGCATGCTTTTAGCTCCTTTATCAAATATAAGATAGTTGTAGCTTTGTGGATTAGTCTCTGTGTCCTCTATTCTGTGCCATTGGTCCACCCGCCTGTTTTGGTACCAGTACCATGCTGTTTTTGTTACTATTGCTCTGTAATATAGTTTTAAATCTGGTATCGCTATACCGCCTGATTCACACTTCCTGCTTAGAATTGCTTTTGCTATTCTGGGTCTTTTATTTTTCCACATGAATTTCATGATTGCTTTATCTATTTCTACAAGAAATGCCATTTGGATTTTGATTGACATTGCATTAAACCTATAGAGAACTTTTGGTAATATCGCCATTTTGATGATGTTAGTTCTGCCTATCCATGAACAGGGTATATTTTTCCATCTTCTAAGATCTTCTTCTACTTCTCTTTTTAGGGTTTTGTAGTTTTCATTGTATAAATCTTTCACCTCTTTTGTTAGGTTGATTCCCAAGTATTTTATTTTTTTTGAGGATATTGTGAATGGAGTGTTTTTCCTCATTTCCGTTTCAGAAGTTTTGTCGCTGATATACAGAAATGCCTTTGATTTATGCGTGTTGATTTTATATCCTGCCACTTTGCTGAATTCATTTATTAGTTCTAGTAGTTTTTTTGTAGACCCTTTTGGGTCTTCTAGGTATAGAATCATTTGCATTTCTTGTCACATGAACATACAGTATGTCTTTTTCCCTCTGAAGACTTTCATTTAACACAATGATTTGAAGTGTCTCTGTTGCATATATTTGTTTGTGACCTAGCCCTTTGTATCCACACGCTATATTCTAAATCTGAGTTGAACCACGTTTTGTTGATCTCTTCACCTCTTGGTGGACATTTGTTTTGTTTGGGTTTGTTTTGAGCACTCACAAATAAGGGTGCTGTGGAAACTCAAGCGCCTTCCTGCCTTGGCTGTTTTCTCAAATGCCAAGTGCCATATTTTGAGGAACTATGTCTTGAACTCCATATGTATATACTTTATCAATCAAGCAATTAAAGATTACTATTTAGATCTTTATTGCCTTCTTAATATTTTTCATCAAAAAGGGGGGTGGTGTGGAAGAAGAAAGGGATGGAGCAAGGAAGAAAAAAAAAAAAGGACTTACCAGTTCTGGGTGGCTATAGGTAACCTAGGGTAACATTGGTAAGGAATCTGTATTTATTTGCAGGTCAGAGGAAAGGTAGAGAGTTTCACAGTGAAAGAATTGAAGAAGATCTATGTGTGTGCTTCTTAATTTTTTAATTATTATGTTTTAAAATTTAGAATAAAAACAATAATTTCTTTTTTTGCAGTTAATTTGGACCAGGAAAAATTAGCAGATAAATTTTAGGAACTATATTCACTGACAAAAACAATCAATTTCTTGTGGATGATTTTGTTATGATCCAATAAAGACATTAATGCATAATAATTTTATTATAAAACGATACAACATTTACATTATATATATTTGGACTTCTTTATCGTATGGCACATAAACAATTGTTCAAAATATATACTAATTATTTAATCTACACATTTCTTTTTTTAAATTTTTAATCTACACATTTCTTAGCAATGATTTGCAACAACATATGTAATCAAAGTAGAACTAAATTCCCAACTTCATAATATGAACGTTAGGCCCATCTCAGATCTTCTTATGTATTTTATTATTTATTATATTTAGAAATGCAGTTATTTAAAATACAACGGAACTACTATTTCTTCTCCTGTATTTTCTGTACAGAAATTTACTTTTAGAGTAATGAATTTCATTCCCCATTTCTTCTGTTTTATTGTTCAGAAATGTTTATTTAAGAAACATTTCTGTTTTGAAATGTTTACGTAAAAAATATTTTGAATGATAAATTTTAAATCCATAAGGGTATGAAAAATAACCAAAATATGACAAATGAAAGATAAAACTGATGCATAAAACTGATGTTACTATAAAGATGTCTTTGTTTTTGACGAGTCTGAATCATTTGAGATTTCTGAAATTGCTGATTGGTATTCTCAGGGAATTCAAAGTCCGTTTCAAAATGGACCTGGAGAGCAGGTCTCATCTGTATTGTATCCAACTGTACTTTGATGTTCAAAACTGAGTATAGCAAAGTCAAAATAAAGCACATGAGGGTTTTTCCATTTTTTACTTTAGAATAAATTGTTCTAATAGAAATTATGAAGGCTGTTTGGTTACTTAAATGAGTTCATTTCGAAATCTCAAAGTTTTTAAAATCTAACATAATGCTTAAGGTAAAAAGGGCATCAAAGGAATTTCAGGGAAAGGTGGATTCTCTGTATACCCTAAAAATACTTCATGAAATCATGAATAATAAACGTAAATAAGCAGGTTCTCAGCAGAAAAGTTTGCCTAAATTCTTTAGATGTTAGTCTAACGAGTAAAAGACAAACTCACTTCAGGAAATATTGATTGTCTCAGTAAATGTTGTTTCTGACCATCATCCACAGGATAATGTAGACAGACAGCCCTCACGAAGTTGCATGTTTGATACATAGCAAGAAGAGGGGTATTTCTATTACTGAGAAATATCTCAGACCACCAAGTGAGCAGGCAGAATGAACATCAACAGCCAAGTCAGAGGTTCAAATCCTTGTCCACAATTAGCAGTTGGGAAATTACATAACCACTCTCAGTATCTCTCTGTAAACAGGGATAATGACATGACCTGCTTCTGAGGGTCTGAGAGAAAACGACAAGAATCAAAACAGGTAAAGTGCTTAGAATTGCCCCAGCATAGGATAACTAAGACGTAAATTTTATTAGATAACTTCCTTAAAAACTAGCAAACAATACAAATGTTTGCAAGGACACCAGGAAGCATGAAACCCACACAGAGAGTAATGCAACATTAGAGGACTACAGTACTTGCATGAATTTATAAATACTTCACATCACTTGAACATACCTTTAAATATTAATAAATAATACTGATACTTCACATTCCATACTGAAAGGTTGGAAACATTTTCCTGAGAAAATGTTGAGAGTTATACACAGTGGATGATGGTCTTAAAGAGAATTCCCCTTTAGGGTAACTAAGTCTCTCCTTACTCGTTTAATTGCAGTGTATTGTATTTTCCTGAGCATCAGTATGTTTGCATGAGTGCAGCCATGATTCTCAACTTCTGTGGGCAGGATGGGTTAGGAAATTAGCTTAGAAGAATCTACTCTTTCCTTTGTCCATAATTCAGTAGGAAACAACTCGCTCTTTAACAATAGGTTAGGAGATAAACTTATGTCATAGTAAGATATTTTTTATTAGCTAAGTCAACTTTAAATAGACTATTTATTCATACATCTATTCACTCTGCTTACACACATAAAAACCACTATCAAAAGGTCAAAACTGACAAATTTGAAAGAGTTCCTTTAGCAAAAATCTGGAAACAAGATCCAGATTTTCTCTTTGTTTTTAGGTTTAAACAGAATTCATCTTCCATCCAAGAAAGTATGATTTTCCACCTCGGGCACTGTGCTGAAGAGTTTCAGAAATGAGCTTCTGCCCTAGAGGGACCTGGACTCTTTGTTTATTCACCAAGTTTTGAAGAAAGAGTTCCTTCTTCAAGTATATATGTGCATGATTTTCTGGAATATCATCTTCTGCCAAAGCAACCGATATATAATAAATCCCATTTAAATACTTGCATTATGTTATTTTAACAGGAATGTTTAGACACCGTGTTGAGGAAAGAATGAGATCCACATTGTCCTTCTTAACTGGATCTCTATCCAGAAGTTCATTTCCGTAGTCTAATCAACATCACATAAGGGGAAGTGCCTTCAGTCTTCATTTCACTGGAGAAAAGACCAAAGTATCAAAGGAGTATCAAAGGAGAGCACATGAAACCCGAGTGATCCAATGGCTGCACCACCACCACTCCCACCTCCACTCCCACCAAGTTGCCAAGTCTGAACTACATTGATCCAAGAGATGGTCATCATGGATCTGTTCTAGTCAACTCTCCCAAGATACAGTAGAATCACATTGTGAAAGTACTTGACTTATGCAAATTCAGCTAGGTTTGATAGGACAAGAGTAAGAGAGTGAAGGGAAGCCAGAGAGTCAGAGCCTGTGTCTGCCTTTCCACTCAGGAGAGATGTGCACCACAGTTAGGTGGAGGTTAGAAAACACAAACCAAGCGTTCCCTCAGAATGTTGCAGTTCTGGGGGCTTCTTATAGCTTGAGCTTCTCTCCTCACTGTGCAATTCTAGTATTTAAAATTTAAAAAGTAGATCTTTAACTATTAACTATCTGAAACTAAGAAATTGACCAATAAAACCATTTCCTCTGACACACTCCTTCTGTAGCAGCTAGATTTGAGGCATTAGATACTGGAGTGGCTACAGTATGGTTGCAACCAGTTGTTTCTCCTCTATTTCACTCTAGCTTTATTCTCTTCAAGGGCAAAGCTGTTGAGAGCCGCCATGATACTTAGCCCCCCTTGGGAAATGCTATCTGCTTGGAAGAGACCAGCACACTGATCAGCCTCCCTTCCTTTGGAAGGTCATACTTGCCCTCCTGTTCCAAAGCTGTCACCTCTTTCCCTACACTGAAGTGACTAATAATCTCCCTGCTTCTGAAATGTGGGCATCTTGTCTCTTCCTTGAATACCTCTGGGGTTTAATTTCTTCTTTTTTGGAAGTTGCTTTGCTAGTGGCCAAAAAGATGAGAATTTGGCACCTGGAGGCCCAAAGATTTTAGAGGACTTGATTCATAATGGTTTCATCTCCAGTCTCTAATTATATCCATCATTAGCAAAGTGAAACATTGTTGCAGGAAGTTTTAAAGGGAGAGATGAATCTGTCTGAATTCCTAGACTGATGCTAATCACAGCGAGTATGATTTTCCACCTCGGGCACTGTGCTGAAGAGTTTCAGAAATGAGATTCTGCCCTAGAGGGAACGGACTGGGAAATTCAAAAGCTGCTCAAACAGGAAGTTTTTAATCACTTTTAAAAAATGATACATGTAATTACAGGCTATGTTTTCTTTTAAGTGATCATCTCTTAGAGATTATGGAAATGAGATTTGAGCCAGATTCACATTCAAATTCAGGCAACAACAACACAAATTAAGCATTTAGACATGACTTAGATGGTTTCAACCATCATTTCCTTGGCTTTCATGGATCATTGTCATTACTGGAGATTATTCATTGCCCTTGAAGGGAATGAAGCTAGAGTGAAATAGAGGAGAAATACTGGAGATTATTCATAGGTAGTTGTTGGAGATACTCATTTTTTAAGCAATAAAAAACAACAACAAAAAATAAATATACCAATAGTCAGACCTGCCCTGGTGATATTTGCCATCTATTAATTTGAGAGATGATATGGAAATTTCAATAAGTATGAACAATTCATGATTAAAATGTCCACTAATGTTATAAAAAATGAACAACAGGGAGTGAAGGACATTGTAGGAGATGATCTGTAATGCTTGGAGAAAATACCAAAGTCGAGATCAGGCTTGTTGGAAGTAAGAAAGCAGGGAGAGGGTACCTAAATGTATTCATTCATTTATTCAGAAAATAATTATATGGTAGGCTTCAAAGATTCAGTGATGAACAAGATTAACACAGTTCTGAATAGGAAGAGAGAAACAGAGAGTAAACAAAAGATTACATAAGTATTAGACTGCAGTCTTTCTCAAGGGGGTTAAAAATCAATCCTGTTTAACAGCAGTTGTGAAGATGGGGCTGAGGAAAGAAAGACCTTACCTGGTAGACACAGCCTTACATACTTTTGTCCTAGGAGTTTCAGACCAAAGTGCCACCTTGGTTTTTAGTTCTTTATTCTAAAATTGAAAAACAAAAGTGCTGAGATCAGATAATTAACCCACCTATTCGATATATCCCAATGCTTCTGTTCACCCTGCCACACACACCTGCCTCATTCCTTGGCAGTAAGTTTGTTGCAATCATTCTATTAGAACACAGGAACAAACCATTTGAAGGTCATTAACTTTTATCTCCAAAGATACAAATATGCCCTGAAAAGTGCATAATACTCTTTTAAGGGATCAACATGTAGTATTCTGACTTAGCCTCGGATTTGCAACAGCTGAATTATCTATGTTTGAATTTACAGATTCTTTTATACAGACAAATAAATAAAAACTTTCTTAAAGGACCTTATTAAAGATACACACAACATTGCTACAAAACTGAACAAAAGCTCTTGATTGTATTTTTTTAACTTCTCTTGACTCTCAGTTTTATCACATGAGAACAGGTGCCATCTCTTCTTCACTATGCCATTCAAGGCACCCTTAGCCTCAGTGGCTCCTGGAGGCTTCAGATTGCTCATCTCTATACTAGTGGTAAGTGATACATGTCCAGCCTGTATACATTTTTTTGTATACATTTTTTTCAAAGAAACAAATACTGTATGATGATAATATTTCAATTCTGGAAGTGTTCTCATAATTCTAGGCGGTAACGGAATGGCTAATAACAGTGTTAGCTGTTCTCAGGTACAAATCCTAGCACAGCCTTTCACTAGCTGTGTAACCTGATTTAGGTTATTTAACCTCTTTCTGCCTAATTTCCTCACCTGCATAATACATATAAAAATAGCCTCTTCATCACAGGTTTGAAATGAGATTAGTTCAGTACCTAGCATGAATTTTAAGGCTTCAAGGTCTGAAGTCAGTTATAGTTTTCTAGTCTAACTACCAATTTTTTATATGACAACAACAACAAAAAATGAGTTCTAAAACTTTGGTTTTCTGAGCCAGGTGCAGTAATATGCTTGTAATCCCATGCAGTGACTCTGGAGGCTGAGGCAGGAGGATCCCAAGTTCAAGGCTAGCCTCAGCAACTTAGCAAGACCCTGTCTAAATAAACAAATAAGGCAAGGTATATATATCAGTGGTACAGTGCCCCTGGCTTCAGTCCACAGTACTTAAAAAAAAATAAAATAAATAAAAATAAAAACCTTTAAATGCCCAAATTCTATTCATGGCAAAGTTCAGGGTCAAGATGGGTCTTCCCAATCCAGAGCCAGTGATTTCTCCACAACAATACAAAACTGAGAAATTTCACTGAACAGATCTGGAGAGTGAGAGTCAAAAGAGTGAAAGTGAATGGCCAGGAGTGAGTTGCCAGTCTCTGCACTGTCAGCTGAGGGTCTTGAAACCCAGGCTAAGTGCCTCAACCTCCTCCTGCCTCAGCCTCCCAAGATGCTGAGATTACAGGACGGTGCCCCCACAAATTCATGTGGGGAAAGCATGTGAATATTAAACTAGAAGTAAAATAAAAGCCATTCAAGGAAGCATACAACAGTAGGCATTTAATGACTACAGAAAAGAAGTAAATAGAAATTAGTGTGACTAGAATAATTTGGAACATTTTCATACACAGAATCTTAACTTGGACTTTAATAACAAAATTAAAAGGGTGAGGAGGGAAAGAAAATGACTTCTGATGATTCTTAGAGTGTGATGCTGGGAACATCAATTTCAACATCACCTAGGAACCTGTTAAGACAGATCCTCAGACCTCAAGAGACCTGCTGAATCAGAAACCCAGGCACCTGCTAATATGTGTTCATACGCTCACCAGGTGCTTCTGGGGTCAGCTCAAGTGTGGGAAACACTGGACTGAGAGGGGTTTTCAGTCTTGGTTATGTCTTGGAATTGCCAGGAGGGCATTAAAATCAATGGGAGCCCAAGTTGCACCCTGAGATTCTGCTTCATTTAGTTGCTGTCTGGGCTCAGGAATTTTTCAAATTCCACAGGTGATTCTAAAGTGCAACTGAAATAAAAAACCAGTGAAAGAAGGAATCGATGTAAGTTGTGAATTTTGCCCCTTCTCAGTCCTCAAGTGAGAACGACATACGTGGATATATTGAGCAATAACTAAAAGACAGAGACAACATCACTGGATACATAAATCATTTCAGGAGTTAAGCATTTAAGTCTCATCCAGGAAATATACTTCAGATTTGATAAATTGACAATAAGGACGCACCTCATGTATTGGAGATAAATCTAACATACCCTCCAAACAAGGGCAGGCATATCATAGGCCCAGTGTGTGGCTGAGGGAAACCCCCCTCTATTCAAGTTATGAAGCAATTGGAAACACAATATTGTGATGACAGCCAGAAATGGAAAATACTTCTGTGGCTAGACAATTATGTAGAAGCTAATTGGATTTTTTCCAAAATAAACTCCCACTTTCTCAAGTTCCAAACAACATAAAATCATGTGTTATCATGTCTGTCTTTAATTTATTTCAGTTTCCATGTTGACTTGTTTCACCTATCAGATTAAGGCATTTATTATTGATTCATAGCTGTTTCTACTTTTTCCTTTAAGTAAGACAGAGATTTATTAAATCATTTGTTTGTAAAACTACAAATCACTGGCCAGAATTTGTCTGTCATCGTTATGACTTTATCCTAGGAAAGTTTACTAAACAGGGTTCCTAAAGAACGTAATTTTTGCACACTTAATCTCCCATAAGAACAGATCATTAGTAAAAGAAGTTAGAAATGCATGAAATGTAAGATGAATGTCAGCACTGTAAATCAAGATGATGAAAGACATGGAAAAGGAGAAAGAAGGCAAATAATTTAGGTAGAGTTAAGTATTTTCTTATGATATTTAAAAGAGGTTTAAAAGACTTTTCTAAGTATTTAAAAGTTTTTCTAAGGAACTTGATATGAGTCAATTTTATTTTCTATTTGGAGGGAGTTACAAAAATAAAACTGCTAAAATAGAAAAAATTACTTCCATGTCATGAAAATAAGAATAAAATAGAAAATATTTAATACAGTAACTGTGACAATGGATAAAATAATGGTTATCCCAATTTAATGTTATAACTACTCATTTCAAAATATATATTAAATAACCACTTCCATTATATTTCACACATGATACACATTATACACACACATGTGCACATGCTCATTTGATAAGAGGATATTGTGTGAAAAGGAGTCATATGTTTTAAAGTCAAGTAGACTAAAATGCAGATTCTGCCACCTGCTAGCTAAGTGATTTTGAACAAGTTTTTTTTTTTTTTTTTTTTAAACTTCTCTGAATCTCAGGTTTTATCACTTGGAAAATGTATCTTTTCCTGAATTTACTATTAGACCAAAAGGCCAATTGGATCAATAATGTACAGTGTGTAGGATAAATTACCATTTTACTTAAGACAATAAAATCTGCTTTGGGGATGATATGAACAGACACAATTGAAGATCATAAAATTGGATTAGAAGCAGGAGCACCACTGATTCATTGACTCTGTGAGAAGACTTGGCACTTAATTAGGTATGACCAGAGCCCAGGACCATAATGAAGTGAAAGATCAGAGAAAGATACCAGATCTAAAATAATCCCTCCAATTAAAATTGATCACAGATGCACAATAATTAAAGCAGTAGTTCATTGGAGCCAAAATAGGCTGGTAGGCCACTGAACGGTTTCCAACCTAAGAATGTAGTCTAGAATTCGTGGGTGTTTCAATTTCATTCACTGGTCATAAACTCCAGAGTGCGGGTCTCATGATTTCTCTATTTCAACACTGTTTTTCTGAATTCAGTGCCTAGCTAAGAGTAGTCACTCAATACCTGTAGAACTAATTACACCATTAGTGATGTGCACAAATGAATGAAATGAGTAAAAGTTCAATTACTTTCAATATAGTAGATATAGTGAGCCAGATATACTCCACAACTTTATGTGCATGGAATCCTACAGAAATAAGATGCAATCATGGTGCTCCCTCCTGGTCTATCCTGAGGAGGAGAAAAGTTCCCAAAGATGCTGCAGGTTTCCAGTGGAATTCAGAGCATCTCTGTCTTCCACAGGACAGGACGATATTGGCAGATGGTATATCCATCAGGAAATCAAAATACTGAAGGATAAAGTCGGAAAAGTCCTTGGGTTCAGGCAGTTGGAAATGAGCCCTTGATGCAGACAAAGAGGTGACACAGTGGAGGTGGAGGTGCCCGTGGGTCTTGTGCCTGTGCTCCAACCTGGGCGGGGCTTGGCTGCACTACCTCTGGGATAGGGCCACCACCTGCCCAGGATTGTCACTGAATGCCAGAAAAGGGATGGAGAGGAGGGGCCAGTGGAGTGGAGGGGAAGAAAAGCATGTCTTATCACAGGAAATCAGAAAGTATTGTGCTGGGCTTTCCAACAGGCAAAAGTGGATAATTGCAACAGGTTTCTGGAAGTGGGTGAGCGCTGAGGCAAAGCTTGAGAACCAGGATGAGCAGGGACGAAGAGAGAGGAGAAAGGAGGACATTTCAGGCTGGGAAAGAAACCTGTGTGGGAACAAAGGCAGGCGACAGGAAGCCTGGCCATCTGGCTAGAGTGGAATTTACATAAGAGTGGCCTTGAACAAACTTCAGATCCAAGGCCATGTGGAAAGGTCATCATCTGTCTTGCCAGTACATCAAGTATAATGGAAAATGTGGATGCTTAACAATTATTTAATATATAATAATGTTATTATCAATTTAATAACTCAATTAAATGGTTTAAATACTTACTAGTAATTTAATAATGATTATTATAAATATTCCTCCCAAAGATGTAATTTCTTATGCATAGAACATTCATATGCATATGCTCAGAAGAAGACACCTGTATGTACACACAAGCACACACACTGACACGTGGACACTCACACAGTCACAAGCAACCACACACACACACTCAGATATAGTGTCACAGAGACATGCAGTCATGCACAAGCCCATACACACACACTCACACACAAGCTCAATGAAACACAAAAACACATGCACTCTCAGGCTGAATTGTACCATGGATTCCCTTCTTACCTGGGCTTCAAGGATGTTGACTTTTTCTTTCAGATTTTCTATTCTTTTATCTTGTTCTTTTAAATTGTTTTTTAATCCTTCCATCTAAGAATTAGGGGGCACAATTGGAAAAATCTTGTCAGACCACAGGGTAAGAAATCATATGGCTTTCTGAGGTCAAATGGCACTCATCAAATAAAAGCATGACATCTCCCAGTATTAACAGACTCAGCAAGCTACAGAAAATCGCAAGCCAAATTAGCACCTGGAGAGGAAAGTCCTCAGATGGTGCTGTTATACATTTTAACTTCTGCGGAACCTATTCACACCAAATTGAGTGGGAGCCCATCCTGTGGAAAGGAGCACTGGTCTCCCCAGGGGTCTCAGCAACCTCATGACCTCCTCCTGCAGATGCACCTGCTGATAGACTGAAGGTGAGGCCCATGGGGAGTGTAGAGGCTCCCCAAGGGATAGCTTGTCAAGCAGTGGCAGGAAGATGTGACCTGCTTTGCCAAGAGGCCATGCAGAATCAGGACATGGGGTGGTGAGGTACAGAACAGCGCCCAAGAAAGGGCACAGTGGATTCTGAAGCCAACTCTGTTACCATCAGCTCTACCACTGAACCATTATGAGCTTTGGTCTTCTCATCTGTAAAATGTGAGTGTGAGATGCCCCCAAGATCCCTCTCAAATCCCACTACTCAACTTTCTGGCCTTTGGGTGAAGCCATGCCAAATGAATACAAGTGCTAACCTGTGTCAAGAAAGCACTGGGATTATTTAAGAGGACTCCTTCTGGAAACAAATGCTATATATAAAAACATGAAATAGAAGTCCAGTTTTATATACACATCTTGAAGTCTGTCTTATACAGTCCACCATCACAGGTTGCTAACACTATTACTTATTCTTTTTCTTCTGCCAGGGTATTCCTAGAGAATAGGCTAGTTCCTACCCTAAAACACATTCTAAATGAATTTATAATTATAAGGTTATTAAAAAAGATAACTTCTTATTTTTTTAAAAAATATTTTGTTTATTTGATTGTAGTTGGATACAATACCTTTATTTTATTTTTATGTGGCGCTGAGGATCGAACCCAGGGCCTCACACATGCTAGGCAAGCACTCTACCGCTGAGCCACAATCCCAGCCCCAACTTCTTATTTTTGAAAAGTATGAGTAATTTACAAAATCTTCTGAATAACAGTGCACGGCATCTGACTCAGAACACCTACACAAACATCAGTGGAACACCTAAAAAAGCAGTTAAACCACAATTTCCCAATGGTCCTTATTGAGAACATGGCAGGTGCTGGTGTTACTGTCTGTAACAGAAGACACTCAGAACTGAGCCATGTTGCATGAGAAAGCAAAAACATACATCACTGGGGAGAAGAGCCCCATGGCAAGCTACCCGTATTTGGCCTTCAGGCTGTAAACATACCATCTACCAGAGAAATGCACTCGATTAGCCTGACCTCCTGGATGATGCTGCGCAGGTTCTGATGCTGAGAGTGAATCACAAACTGCAAATGAGAGATCTGCTCCTGGAGAATGGAAATCTCTGTTTGAAGATCCTGGCAACTGAGAATGCAGAGGGAAAAAAAGAGAGAAAGCTTTGAAAACAGGCTGTGCAGGTCTTTCCCCTGCCTGTAGGGCTAGGCCTCCTTACACACCCCATGCAATGGAACACTAGACCACACAGATCACACTGAGGATGAACAGCCAGGAAGCAGCCCCTGTGATGTGCCTAGTTATGAACTTGAATGGGAATGCCAATTACAAAGTTTCTCCAAGAGGCAGCTGGGTCAAGTTGTATTTGGCCAAGTGAAGCGCTTAACATTTCTAAACTGTCTTGTATATGAGCACCCACGGACCTGGCACCCAACAAAATTCACAGCTCATTACATAAAAGGGGCAGAACATGTGAGCAAGAATGGACACTTTATCTGATATATCTCAGAAACAGATTTCCAAAGAAATAGGTTTAGTATATGTTATGGGTTGTCTGTCCTCCCCTCACTTCCTCCCTCTCTTCCTTTCTCTTCTGGGTTTTCTACTTGTGATATTCTACCTGTAGGTAGGGAAAGGGGAAAGAAAAAGAAGTAAATTAAATTTCAGCTAACACTTTTGAGTCCACACAAACCACGGTAAAAAAAAAAAAAAAAAAAAATATATATATATATATATATATATATATATATATATATATATATATATGAGTTAGGTTTGAACTTAGATTGCTCATACTTTTCCAAAGCTCCACTTTGGGTACTGGAATTGATTACCCAACTTTTGCTTCTTTCTCTTCTTCCAATATTAGTTATAAAGCCACATTCATCCTGGCAAGACCACCAAGGTTGGGAGCACTGGGAAGCTGAGAAGCCACTCACACTTTCTAAGTCTCTGTGCAACAGTTGCAATAATCTCTGCCTTTGCTACTTTATGAGATTAATCCATAGACTTGAAGAATAAAGTTATTATGCTTTTTGAAAGTAATGAGCTTTTCACATAGTAATGTATTGATATTATTTCAGCCTTTTCAAAGTTTTGCAATGAGTAACCCTCATCCAATGCAATCACAATTCTGGATTTTTATAGCCTCTACATGTAAAGATCATGGAAATTCATAGAACACCATAGAACATGATCTCTTTAGGGAATGATCTCCACTTGTTTCATATCATATATTAAGGCATTGTTTCTCAAATTTAACAGGCATCAGGGATCTTGTTAAATCTAGATTCCAACTTAGTATGCAGGTGTAGGGCTTGAATTTCTGCATATACAACTGGGTGTTCCATCATGTTGCTGGTCTATGGATTATGCTTTGAGTAGTTCAGCATTAGACCACTAAAGGAGGCTCGGTAACTTTTTGTATATAAGATAGTCTTTCAAAACCGTGTGACTTACTATCAAGCAACTTGCAAAATTTAGGAAATTCTTTTTAACTCTCTTTCTCTCTTGGTTTTGCACGAGAGGACTTTAGAAAAGTTTAGTTGACTGTACAAAACATGAATTTCCATAAAGCTACACTAATCCTTGCATATGCAAATAACATAATGATGACTATTACAATATATTTATCATATGGAATTAAATAATTTATCCTACCAAAGTGCTGTATAATTATGCAAAATAAATGTCACAAAATACATGTAAAATGAGGTTCATTGTTGTTCATAATATAAAACAAAAGGGAAGGTTCTAAATGCTCATCAATAAAGACTGAAAAAATGAAGCAAGGTCTATCTATGCCATTCAGATAGCCAATATATATATGAAGATGCTAAATATCACTGATATTCAGTGCAGCACAAATGGCAGCCACACATACACCTATACACAACCAAATTAGCTAAAATTTAGTAAGACTCAGAATACTGAGTCTTGGCAAAGATTTGGAGCAACAGGAATTTTAACCACTGCCACTGGAAATTAAATTAATATAATCATTTTAGAAAACATTTTCTTCTGAAGTTAGCCAATGATTCATAATTCCATTTCTAACTGTATTCCAAAATGTGCACTATGAGACAGATAAAAAAATGTTTATGGAAACTTTATGCATGTTGAAACCTGGAAACAAACTTGCGATATTCGTTGACAGGAGAATGGATAAGCAACTGTTGCTTTTCCACACATAAACCATGAATGACAGACACTAACAACATGACTGATGCTCAAAAACCACCCGGAGCAAAAGAAGACCCAGCGTGCCACTCATCAGAAGGTAAAAATGAAAAACTTAGTCAAGGCAGCTGTTATGCTAAGGGATACATAAAGAAAATCAGGGACATGATACAGGACAGTCCAGAGCAGGGCCACTTCAGGAAGTCACAATTGTTCACCCACATGTTTGCTTTTAAATAGTCCATTAAACCATAGGTAGTATTAATGTTCTGTGCATGTTTCTGTATGTCTGTCTTACTTCACATGCATGTGTGTGTGTGTGTGTGTGTGTGTGTATCAATATTTGTTTAAACAGAAAAGAGATGCAGGGGATACAAGACAACCAACTAATGCTAGTGAGCTTTTTATGTTTATGAATTTGGAAGAATTCCATTTGTCTTTGGAGATTATCATGCTATTTAATCTTCTCTTGCTGTTTTTTGTTCCTTCGTTTGCTGTACAGGGAATTGAACCCGTGGGCGTTCTACCACTGAGCTACATCCCCAGCCTTTTTTTTTTTTTTTTTTGTAATTTTATTTTTTACCTAGAGACAGAGTTTCCCTAAGTTGATTATCATGCCTACACAATACAATCTGCCAGCTACGTCCTCCCTCCCCATCATGACTGACATGTTAAACAACTATCCAATTAAGAAAATTTATGAAGGAATAAAAGGGCAGATTGTTGACGCAGGCTGAAGAAAGACTCCCAGTTCAATTGCGCCTTTGCACATGGTTCTTGTAACATGATCCTCTAAGGGACCCATCCCTCAGCAAAAACACATACTTGGACCTTTCCCTTGGACAGAGGAAATGTGAAATCGGAACCAAGTAAATGTGCAGTTCATTGTTTTCTTTCCACAATTTGTGAGGGGAAAGTGTTTGAAAAAAAGAAGCTGGATGCCTGATTCAGAGGAAAATGCTGTGTGCTCATATTCCTGGATCTGACCACGGAGGCAAGGCACAGCCCTTTCAGCATTTCTGAAATTCAAGTTCAAGGAATAGTTGCTGCAGCACCAGCCTGCACTGGATTCCAGATGCCCCTGAGTTCGAGGATCAGAGGCTTTCTTAAGAAGGAAAAAGGAGTCTGGGCAAATTTCAGATCCCCTAGCAGGTGAGGTTCAGGACCTGAGGAGGGGGCAGGGAACTTGGAGCCTCTAAGGAGAGTCCAGACTTCAGAGGTTTGCAGCATTTCAAAGAGAGTGAGAGTGAGAGGGGCCACAGCCCAGGGAATGAATCCTTGGGGCAGGGATCATCAGGAGTCTTTTATCTAGGATTCATGCTCTGCCTCCCAATGTCTCAATAGAATTTTTGATGGATATTTTCCTCTGTCATGCAATAGAATAGAAAAAAAGGAGTGAATGTTAAAATATAATTTAAAAACTTCAACTTCAGGGAAGCTTCTCAATTCTTTCGTGGTAAGTACAGCTAAAACCCCTGGACATTAGACATAAACAAGCATAAGAAGACTGACAACAATAAGAAGGTGGCAGACTGGCTTCGGATCCTAGGATCGAAGGGGGAAAAATGGTGAGTTCTCGGAATTTTCTCTTTACCTCCTAAATCTCAGAATTGAAGCTGGAAAAGTTGATGGTCCAGAATGTCAATGAGAGCAGACAAAAAGAGAAAAAGGAAAAAAAAATAAAGAGGAGTCTCCCCTTCACCCTACACCCCACCCCAAAAAAGAAGAATACTGGCCCTTCCCTTTTAGGCAGGGAATTGAGGACTCCTTCCCAATTCATTACTGAGGGAAGATGAGGCAGGTACCTTTTCTGATTCTCTTTCTGTTAGGATTCTTTAGCTTTCAAGACAGAAATTCAATCTTGTTTTTAACTTGCAGAAATGTGAAAACAAATGCCCTTGCCTTTCTTTAGCCCCTGGGGTCCTAGGGTCAGTACTTGACAGGAAGTCCACCCTCGGTCTCTGTACTGCTCTGCAAAAGTATTGGTAGGAGGCACCCAAGTTCATGAAGAGTTGTCTCTCCATCTGTTCTTCAGGATGTTCTGTGGGCAGCTTCATTGGCCTTTGCTACATTGCCCTCTGTTCCATGCTGTTGCAATGGCTTTGATTGAATTGTTCTTTGGTGTCATGCTATTCTTTTCTAGAGGATGTTCTGAGGTATGGCCTCAGGTGTTTTTCATGATGTAGTTGAAGATATTGTTCATGATTCTCTTTATGAGCATACCCTGGACAATTTTCTTTCAAGTTATATGAACATATTTTTAAAAAGTGAACTTCTCCCAAAGAATTGGTTAGTTTTAGTCATGTGGACATTGTGAGTCACAGAACTAATCATTAATTTCCTTTTTGGGTTGGTTTAAAAATGCACCAGTGGTCTACTGAGAGCAAGTCCACAGCATGTAGATTAACCACATGAAATGCCTATTCTTGTATCTCTTTGGTCTCACCATCTATTTTATTTCCAATTTAAGTAATGATGATATGACTTTTATAGGTTTTAAATAAGCAATCTTGGATTTACTTAGAATCCAGGGCACATAAATATATAATTGTGAGTTCATCATTCCTGGTCACATTGACACAGTCCAAAAATACAATCTTTTTAGGTGTTCACAAAGTGCACCAGGGATTGATATACTCAGATGTTACAAGAATTAAAAGGAAAGAATGAAATTTTCCAAAAAAAATAAAAATAAAAATAAAAGAAAGAAAAAGAAAAAACCCAAAGAGAAATAAAAGAAGGAAATGAAAATGGAAACTGAAACTACACAACTACACTGCATGCCCAAGATGCTACTTCTGGGCACAGCACACATTCCCCGGGCACTAGAAACACAACACTTCATAGAAGTGAGATTGGGAGAAAAGACAGTGGGTTGGTGGTATCTAAGAGGTTCTCCGAAGCCATGAAAGAATCTTCTGCAGCTACAGGGACTTAAAGATGGCCTGCTGTCTAGGATATAATGTTTCTCTGGATCTCTGTGAGTGTCCACATTACTGAGTGTGGGTCCCCAGGGAAGAAGGAATGAGTGAGAATAGACGAGGTTGGGTATTACCATCACTCAGCCAGACAAGAGGTAGAATCAGTATGGATATAGAGGTAGCTTTGTTCACATTTCAATAAAACTCAGGAATATGTCTTTTTATTGCTCATCAAAATCCTTCCCATTGTTATTTCCAGTGATGGCACCAAAGGGATGGCTTTTAGAGAGCCCCCAAACTACCGCAGGCAAATACACACTTAAGTGGCAACCACAGTGTGCTTTGACATGCAGCCTCAGCTTGAGGTAACCATCTTTCCTTCTCTGAGGAGTTGCGCATGCCTAAGCAACTCTTACCTAAATGGGCGAGCCCTTGCTGCTAATTTTTATAAATCCCAAATATGACTTTCACGTGAACTTGTGTATATGTCAGTGAGGTAGCAGGGAAATAGCTTTCTGCTAGCCATCGCACAGGAGGGAGGGGAAACCAGTATGGAATACTGGAGCCAAATCCTGTGAGCCAATCCCAGCCTGTGAGAGGCCAGATAGCTTGACAAGGTCCTTAATTATTAAAAGCCCAGATTACTCCTTGAAAGATCAATGGGAGGATTTAATTAGATATGGTACCTGGGGTTACTCTGTAAACTGTAAAGCACTATACATGTGTCTGTTAGTGGTAATGGTAGTGGCAATACAGTCAACCTTATGTTCAAGAAAACACATCTTTTAACTTTCCAGTTCTTCCTCAGGGCCATATTTATCCAACTTGAGCCCGTAGAAATCCCCTTTATTTGAGAGAGCTTAACCCAGTCTCTACTGCTCCAACCCAAAAGTGCTGGTTCATACTGATTTCACTCCGTTGTCACACAGCAACATGAATGCCTCTCCATTCAGTTCGGAGGAGATAATAAGGAAGACAGAATATGTGTGATGCTGCACACTATGAAAACCACATAAGCCAGATGTCCAAACACCTTTCTGGGAGCACAAAATATCCATTTCCTTCAAGAAATTTCTGAAATCTCTTTAAGAGCTTTGGGAGAATTCCTTATGACAATTGCTCATATATAACAGAACTGAAAAAAATCATTTTTAAAGGATTATACTGTTGACTCAAAGACTGATAAAAATACCATTATTGGTTAAAAAGATCTCTTAAAGAAAAATATCAAACTCAGACTACCTAGACTCTTCATGGAACATACTGTATGAGCCAATAGTTCTGCTCTGTGGACCAAAAGCTATATTTAAGGGGAATGAAGTAAGCCAAAGATGGACTTAGAGTTAAGTTATGGGTATTCTTAAGTAATTCTATCACATATGGAAGGATACTTTAAGTAATTTCACAATATAGAATGCTCTCTGCTATATTCTTTTCACTCTCTACCAGGATGCGCAGGGCTACACAACTGTTGTAGGAAACCACCTGCTGGGATTACACGCATGTCCAGAGGGAAGAACACAGGAAAATAGTGACTTACTGGTATCTCACCATATTTCAGGTATTTGTGCCTGATTGCCAGGTTCAGCCCATTTCCGGGTTTTAGCATATGTGGTAAAAAAAAATTTTGTGACTATGAGCCAGACATATAAGGAGAGATGAGAAGAGAGAAAGAGAAATCAGAAGGGAAAAGGAAGTAAGGGGAAAAGACCAAAGATCAAGAAAGAGGATATGGGCGTGCATACTACCAAATAAATGAAAAGCTGATCTCTTTGTCCCCTGTGAGGCACCTAATAGTGCCTGATGACCCAGTGAGCGAGACTTCTAGATGGATGGACTAAGATGTGGAAAGACAGTTGACTTTGAATGTGATCTATTTGCATCAGAACTACCATGGCTGTGGTGGGCTTAGAATAAAAAATGAGAACAGAAATGTCTGATGGTGTGAGTTATGACCCAACGTTCTAGAGGATTCTCCCAATGACAGCTGAGTAGGGCACCCCATGATGTCCACATATCCAGCCCACCCGAGGGTGCTGAGCACTGCAGCAGCTCGAGAGGTGTGACTATGAGTCGGTTCCAAGATGGCAGGATGTTTTCCATAGTACCTCCTTTATCCTCTCCTGAGCTGTGGAGCACCACAGAAGTACCCTAGAATTTGACCTGTGGGCTGGGCGGTTTGATGTGGGCTGCAGAAGAGACACCTGAGCAGACAAAAGCATGGGGAATGACAGTGTCACCAGCATCCTTAACACCAAGAGCAAACAGGGAGGCTCCAGGCTCACTCAACTCTTTAGAAGGATTAAACCCACACACACCACACCCCCCATTCCTCAGTGGGTGAGGAAAAGAAGCATAGGGCTGTTGTTCCTAAAAATTCATCCTTCTTCCCACTTCATTGGGGGTGAAAAGACTGTCCAAAGTGGAGCCTGCCAGTGGAGAGGAAAGATATCAGAAAGTACTTTGATTTAGCAGGTAGACTTGCAAACCTTTTAGCATATGCAGTGTTGGATTTGAGTTGCAGCAGCTTGGTTTCCAAAGACAGTTTTCTTTCTAGCAGTGATCTCTTTTCCTAGGGGAAAATAAGATACAAATTTTGTTTATTTTCTGTGTGTATGGGCATGTGTGTGCAGGCACACACATGTTTAGTAAAGCATTCTTCTTGCAAACTGTTCACAAAAGATGCCTCTTGCAATGCGAGAAATACAGATTGAGCTAAAGAGCTCATTTCCTAAGAGCTGTTTACAAGGTATCCCAAGACAGCCTGGTTGGGCATTCCTCTGAGTGCTTTACAAGGAAGTTAAAAGTAGTTTTTTCCTTCATTCCCTTGCTGCCTAGAGAGCTTGCTCCTCATCTAACCCACTGCTGAAATGGAGCCCCTGCAGCTTGACCTCTCCCATCCTCCTCCTCAGTCCCACCCCCAATGCACAGTCTGTTCAGTCCCGAGCTCATCACCACAGCTGCCTCTCCTCCATTAGGCTGAGTGGTTGGTATCCAAGGACACCAATGCAAGTACCTTGATACCTCTACCTGCTCTCCTGGCATCTGTCGGAAAACAGGAAAGTATTAAATGTATTTTTAATGACGGATCAAGGCCACAGACAATTAAATTGCTTCCTAATTAGGATCCCAGAAAAACTATGACACTAAGAAAGAACATCTTTACACATGCTGTCGTTTAATTATTAAACCAAACTATCTTCATCCCAAAGGAAAATAGACAAGTCCATGAAAAACCAGGCTGGGATGATTGTGTTCGGTGTGTATTTGATGGCAACATGCTGGAAGAAGGAATTTGGAGTTTGGGCTGGCTGGTTTAAGTAGCCAAGTTGGGATGTGGGGGAATCAGGAAAAAACTGAAAAGAGCAGGAATTGGTATTGGCAATATGGATGGCACTGACTGAAAGAGATTTTATGAAAATATCCTCAATGCTATTTAAATCGCTTCTCACTGTGGTATTTCACAGGCAGAGCACAAAGCAGAAGCATCCAAAAGACTCTGCACATGGGCTGATCTAGTTTTGAAATTTGGGCCCAAGGTTTTAGCCTCTCTGGGTCTTATTACTGTTAAGAAAAATTAACCAAAACTTGGAAATAAAAGCAACATGTGCTGCATGTAGTTTTCCTGTCACATTAGGTCATGTTTAATAATCTGACCCCCGAATTTTTTAATTTACTGATAATTTTCCTGTGCCTGACTTTGTGATCTGATTAGAGTTCTGACTCTCTGAAGTTGCATGTTAATGTGTGGGTTTCTGTCTGGTAGAAAAGATGATCCCAAAGGTTATGGTTTAATTGCCTCAAAGAATATAAACCACTTTTTAAAGTCTAACCTAAAAACCTAATTCTATATTCCTTTCCTTCTCACAAAATGCCTACGTAAGTAGCCAGTTTCTCAAAATACTTTATTTAAATCAGCTTTACCATCTTACTGGTTCCCTCATTAGTTAATGAGTTGAATAAAACATTCGACATGTATTCATTCTATATTTGTGTGAGTCACATTTTAAAATTTATGAACATCCCTAAAATGAGGACAATAATCCCTAAACTGAAACGTTGGGATGATTAGAGATAATGTATGTGAGAGGCCTACCTGCTCCCTTGGCATGGAGCTGGACCTCAGTATATAATAAATTTGAGAGTACAAATTACTTCATATTCTATGTGTTCTGAGATTTTTTTTAATTATGCTAATTTATTCAAATTTCTCTTGTGGAATTCTTGATCCACAGAAATTGTTTCAGAGTAGCCATAGTTATGTTCAAATTATTTCTGAGCCTTGCAATCTAATGATGACGTTTGGATGACCAATAAAACTCATCAAAGATCATGTATCTTAAATTTCCAGGGTGGAGGAATGGTGTTTCACAATCGTTCTTCCCGATGGACTTCGTCTTGATTAACTGCTTTTCACAGTCAGAGTTCAAAGAGTCCACAGACAACTGAAGAAAACCTCCAAGCCAGGCCAGGGTTCTAGCATCCGGCTTGGGCTCTTCACACACCCTCTTGGGCAGCACAGAAGGTCACAGGTTACCAGCTAACACTTCTCTGACCGTAGTTTCATGGTGTGAATAGCATCACACCATGGGCACCTGCTGTTCCCAAAGCCGCCCCGCTAGGAGGCAGTATCAATAGGAGAGGAGTGGACACCAATTAGAGTCATTACCAAATTTTCCCATCTAACTGATGTAGGGACCCAGAATGTCATTTTATCTAGCATAAGAAAAGAGAGCGACATAATGGGAAGGGCTGTGAACTTGAAGCTGGAGGATTACAGAATACTTCCTTGGCCCCCACTCTCCTGGTTTATAAAATGATGATGAGAAACTAGGTGGTCTCAGAAGTGTCTTTGAGCTCTAAAATTCTAATGGAGCTATATCAATGACACTAAGAATCAAACATGATTCAACAGAATTGCACTGTTAGCAAAAGGAGAATGTGCCATATGAAAATGCTCTTATTGGGCGTTTTCGCTAGCTTATCACTGTGTGTGCGGAATAGATTCTCACTGCATTCCTGATTAAAGTGGGACAGATGGTGGAGGTTTTAAGTAATGTGTTCATTACCAGACCTCATAGCACTAATGGCTATTTACTGGAGCAGGACCTTGTTCAAGTGAGTAGCAAATGAATTCTTCTCTAGGGGTACCCGCTACTAGGGCGGTATTTATCACCCTTTCTGAGAATGAGCATTTTTTCATTTTTATTTTCTTTTGGAACTAGGATCTTTTCCCTATTAATACAAAAGGTTTAGGACACACTCCCTATCTGAGAAACTTCCTCCAAGCCTGTCTTCTCATTATCTCCTTAAACCAAGATGGTGCCAAGTTTTAATTCTTTTAATAGTTTTATTTGTTTGTTTACAAATATAAAATATCTTTAAATTAAATATGTTAAAAAAAACACTCCATGCTCCTCCCCTCCATCTCCACTCAGCTCAACCTCACAGAGGTTCCCCAGAGGCTTTACCCCAGAAACCACTGAACTTTGGCATTCTAGAAGGTTACCACATGGCCTAGCTTAGCCATGGGCATCCAGTCTATTACTCTGTCTTCTATAGGCAGAGAACAGTTATGGGTCAACATTAATGGCAAGCTAAGCCATTGCCTCCAAAAAATGTCTTGCCAGTATCTGAGCCACTGACCCTTAATCTTGAATGTGTCCCCCTACATTCAACAGGGGTTTTAGCCTCCCCCAAAAGATCCTTAGGAGAATTAGAGGCAGAAGATGTGGGAGGTTCTGAAGCCCCACACAGTCCAGTTCCACACACTGTAATCACAAACAGTGACTGTGTCCATTCATTCACAAGCTCATTCACCCCAGCTCTGCATAGCACATGGTAGGTGCTCAAATCTACTGAATAAATGGTTGATTAAATACATCCCGGAACTTTGAGACATAGTATAATAACTCACATATGGTCTGGAATTCCTGGGGTTGTTAGAAAACAGAAATTATCTTCCACTGTCCTTTTGTTAATTTTCAGGCACTAACCAGTGGCCACTAATCTGACCTGGTGTTTACGGGATTTGAGATAGGATGATTGCAAGTTGAAGGTTACATTCCAAACTGGTTGATCAAGTTGTTTGGTTAAACAACCCTATGTGCTTTCCAGAACTGTTTTCCTTTTCTCAATGCAAACATTCATTGTGCTTAGTTTCTAAATGATTTATTATCAAATGGAGTATTCTAACACTAGCAAGTACCAAACCAAATATTGCAGCTTTTCCAAAAGAGTGTAATTATAAACTGGCCTGCCTGCATACACCAACTGCTTAAGGACATTCTAGTCCAATGATTCTACTGAAGAATAGCACCCAATACCTAATAGGAGTGTAGCTGTGAGTTGTTATTAGATAACATTAAGTTTAGGCTTATTTAGTTTTTGCGATTTTCTCTTAGGACCTTCATTAAGATTATAAATGCAACTAAATTCAGTATCACAAATCTTACATTTTTGGAAAACATTTTAAAACTAATCAAAGTTCCTTCGGTAAGAAATCTGAATACCATTGAAATGTGACGTTTTTGAAGTGACATTTTTTAAAATGCCATAACAAAGAAGACTTGTAAAACATATTGAGGTTGAGAAGAGCAGAAGTAAATCAGGAGATTAAAACAATAAATATAAAACACATCAGGTGGAATTTCCTAGAAGCCAAACCTATGTTCTTATCTACACTGAATACAGTTTCAGAAATGCCAATTTCTTGTTTGTTTTGCTATTAAAAGTTAAAATTCCTTGTTTTGTTTGAATTCTAAATTCTAAGGCATGAATAATTAAATTTATGTGTTTATCTTTTGTATGGATTTGGAGTGCCAGCCACTTAAAGTAACACTGCATGAACCGTTTCCCAATTTTTCTTCTATTATTACTCTTTTCCAAATCCATCTTTGGAAAGTTCTGATTTCCAAAGAATAGATTTTCTTACTGTGAACTCTCTTTCTCCTGGTGTAAATATTAGTTTTTATGTACTCAGAGGAGTCAAGAGTGGCCAGAAATGAAGACTGCTCTCTCTAACACACACAAAAGGCCATGAGGGGTAGCATCTGCCACATTATTATTCCAAGAGGTAGATTCTGTGGTATTTCCATTATTTCCATTCACAGCCTGACCTGGTTTCCCATTCTAAGATGTGCATTTGCTAGAAAGAGAAAGTGACAATGGTATCACTACATTATTTGCTAAAGTAAATCCATAGCTATACCACAGATCATATTAAGTGTTAAAGAGAAGAAGCTACCATTATTGAGCACTTCCTAAGATCAGGTATCATAGGAGGAAATTTCATTTCATATTATATTATTTTATTTAACTTAATATCCTATTTTTTCAGTGTTATTGTCTTTCATTTCCCCCCGAGTCCTGTCAGGAAGAAATCCCTTTCATTCTTCAGGGACTTACCTTTTCCATTCTCTCTAGAAGGTTCTCCAATTCTGTGATCTGACTATGTTTCTCTTCAAGTTTTTCAGTGACTTGATTCAGATTTTCAACATGTTGTTTCAATTTCTGTTCTTTTTCAAGCTTATTAACCTTTGGTCAGAAAAATAGTTACCAGATTGTTTTTATTAAACCATACACATAACATGTCCCTCTAGAATTTTCTAACTAGCCACAGAAATGAATAGCTCACACTTGTTTAGAATTATTCTTTTGATCTCAGTGTTTTCTTTGAAATAATCCTGATGAATGCAATACTAAATCAGTAGAGAACAATAATATATAAATATGATCCCTAGAATGTTGACATTTGTTACCATAAAGCCCATCTCCCAAAATGGTATGAGAAAGACACATGCTGATTTAAGAAAAGCAAAATATTTAACTGTTTCTCAACAAAAATTATCTAGAATAAAACTAAAAGCTTATATGTTCAATTGAAAGTGTTTCTGTTTAAATCAGGAATTGTCATAGAAGCAGAATAATTATCCCCAACGTGTCTGGGGTTTTTCCCAGGCGTGCTGCAGGAGGGGAAAGACCACAGAAGAGAAATCTCTGCTTGGCCTCCCATAGGCCACCCTTGGGAGTGTTTCAACTTGACCTCTACCTGACATGAACATAGATATCTGTTGCAGAACTTGAGATTTCTCAGTAAAAATAAAAGCATTTGTCTGCCCTTAAAAAATCCAGGTGGGCATTCCTGCCGGGCTGCTTGGGGTAAGGCCGATGTCCCATCACAGGGACATGCATGAACTGTCTGCAGGTCCCACTGCTCCAGTGGACCCCTCGCAGGGGCACAAGCCAGCCAGGCCATGTCATTTGCTTATATTCTTCACCCGACCCTGCACACAGGCGAGTTTGTAGCTGTCAGCATCATAGCCCAAAGCAGGAGGAGCATGACCTAAGCAGTAGATTTCCTACTGTGCTCCCAAGGGGACCTTATACCTAAGGCCAGAGCAGGCAGAGACCCAGGCACCTCATCCTGTGTTTTATATTCTGAGTTTCAGTACACACACACACACACACACACACACGTTCTCTCCTCCAATCCTAGAACATAAATTTCAGACGTTTATCAGTCCTAGCACACGTAACTCTGATTTAAAATAAAAGCAAACAAAAAACTGTGCGTGAGTTTGCATGTGTGCACATTTATTTTTATATCTTTAAGTATATTTGTACGCACACACAACTTATGTTTGTTTTTTCCCTAATCAGAAGAATGTATTCTAAGACCCAAATGATCTTTAATCCATTTATCTGGCCCAAAACCCAAGTCCAGAGAAAAGGAAATGACTCTGTCTGGACCATCTTGTTAGTCAAAGGTGGAGTCAGAAGAGGCACAGGCCAGCCCCGATCTCCTGACAGGATGCCCTGCCTCCTCCCCGTGTGTGTGCAGGGGGCTCTGGGCAAGAATGGCAGGCAACACAGCAGCTCGGCCACATCTGGTGTGGGCTCAGCAGGACTGGGGCAATCGGCACAAAAGGCAGCTCTTCTGCCTCGTCTCTGCCCTTGCCACATCACCGGCTCTGGCTTGTTCCACATCTAACTCCTCCAGAAAGAGGGACTAGACTGGCTCCCATGGACCAGCTGATAGTTGGTACCTGGAGTAATTGTTGACTGTCCTCATGCTTCTTTCTCACATCTTCAGACTGTGCTTGGTAGTTTTCAAATAATTTCTGGGCCACATTTCTCAGAACTGCTGCTCCTGCTTCTCTGGAGGCTTCCAGCTAGGGAAAAAGGTCACGCTGCATGTTTTGACATTTCCAGTTAAAAGGGTTAGAGGCAGAACATTTTGATGGGCAATTAAAAACAGAGACTCTGACTATAACATTTGCAGCCCCATAGACAATGGATGGGAGAAAAGACACTGTTATTTGATAAAGGAAAACATAAAAGAAGAAACCCCTTGTTTAGTGGGTCAGTGCATGGAGACATATCTGTCCTGGCCACGCCGAAACAGAGCTTTAGGTGCATGCATGGTAGCTTCCCGAAATAGAAGTGGGACAAGCTTGAAGTATGTGGGCAACAAAAATTTAAGGATTGTGAATCTTTCAAAGCTTTAAATAGGGAAATAAAGATGGCTGCAAAGATTATCTACTAAGATATTCACTGCAGGATTGAATAGAAAATAAGGCCCCTCAAAGAAAACATAAAGCATTCAATAAAGGATCAGTGAAACCAATAGTGAGACATCTATGAATGCTATAATTAATGTTTATTAAATATGCAAATGCTTTTTAAAATTTATTGTGGAAAGAAACTTAGCTTGAGACTTAGCCTCTTGAATTTGGAAGTGCACAGTACAGCATTGTTAACTATAAGCTCAATCTCTAAAGCAAGCCTTTAGGACTTACTCAACTTTCATAACTGAAACTTTATACCCATTGAACTTCTGTAAGATTTCTTCACTAATAACAGTAAACCAAGTTGAGACCTAATTTGTGAAATAGAGAAATGCTTCTGTATGCATGTGAGCACCCGTGTGGGCCTGTGGATGTGTGTGGATATCACTCAGCTTGCACAAAACAACAGATGCTGACCACCTGTCAGCTCCAAGGCTCAAAATGTGAGATTAGAAATTTCCCCTAATCATCAGACCTTGATTTTCAATACTTCATTCTCCTTGTTCACTTCTAAGAGCTGCAGGTCTTTTCCTCTCAGTTTTTCCATGAGCAAATCCAAGCTGCAACAAGAGGGGTCCACTTCAGAGTCGGAGCCATTTTGAAAGTTTCCACAGGGCTGAAATGGACAACATGGAATCACTGAGCTGGCCACTCCTTTCCTCATGAACTCAGACAACAATAGTTATCATTCAGCATTACACAGACCAAACCAGCTAGCCTCTACTTTATTTATTTATGTATTAAACATAAAATTTTTTTTATTTTGCTTTTTGTACAGGAGATTGAACCCAGGGGCACTTTGCCACTGAGCCACATTCTCAGTCGTTTTTATTTTTCATCTTGAGACTGTGTCTCACTTAGTTGCTGAGGGCCTCACTGAGTTGCTGAGGCTGAGTTCAAATTTGTGATGCTCCTATCGCAGCATCCCAAGTTGCTGGGATTGATTTTAGGTGTGTGCTACCACATTAGGCTAGTCTCTACATTTGCTCAAGTTTGAACAGATTCTTATAATAAATGAGGTAGAACTACATGTCTTTTTCCTTTTATATCTCTTATAGTTTCAAATATACTGTTAAATGCATCTTAGGAGATGAAGAATATCCACAGACCAATTTCTTATCTAAGTCATGGCATAAATATATTTTGGTTGCACTGCATTACACACTAATATAATTGGACCTAATAGGTATGATCCATAATATTCAATGTTCAACAATGTTTCATTGTAATTAACTTATATCTCATATTAAATTTCCAGTCAGGGATATCAAAATGGAGTACCACTGCCATTATAATTCTATGTAACTGTAGCTCACTGAAACTACACTTGGAGCATAAATACCATCTGGATTCTTAAACATCTGGAGGTGGAAAGAAAATAGTAAACTTCCAACTTAGCACATCAATTTTCCAAAAACCAAGGACCAGAACCCAAGTTTACATAGCAAGTGAGAGAACTCCCAGTACAACTTCTTGATTTATCCATCCTGTGCTCTCTTTAAACTTATTTCAAGGCAGATGGAAAAAAAATATTATACAAATACTCAATTTGCTAAGCACCTACTATGTGCCAGGTCATCTTTTTTATGTTTTCTGTGTACTCCATTGTCATTGTCTGAAATACTCAAAATGATAGAAGACACTATGATCTTCATACATATGAGGAAATTGAAGATGAAAGTTTAACAAGAGTTATGCATAAAATAACTACCACAACCAGAACTAGAATGTAAGTTTGCTTTGCAACTAAGCCTTTCTTCTTTCCACTACATATGCTGACTGCTTTTGCAAAACTAAAACCCAAAAAGAATACAGTGCAGAAAGATGCAGAAAGATAATACTATCCCTCACCACAACTCTGCCAGATTTACCTCTTATGGTCCCGACCCTAGTGTGTTCTCTCACTGTCCATATACAGAGTAGAAATTATTTTGTTTTTAAATTTGTTATTGAATATTTGACAGAAAACTGCTGTGGAAGGTAGATTATTGGCATTAAATGATGGCTACAAAGGACACAGATCAGTGTTTTTCAAACTTTAATGTTTGAGAAGAATGACTTGGTGCGGGATCTGGTTAAAGATGCAGGTCCCAATTCAGGAAGCCTGGGGTGTTGGCTGCATATCTAAAAAGCTCCTGGTGACGCCACTGCCACTGAGACTGAGCCACATCTGAGCAGCAGGACCCGGCACTATAATCGAGCAATCCCTGCAGGGCCAGGTAGCTGATATTTTGGTACTCAGTGGGTCTACTCAGCTTGTGCATTTGACATGGCAGCACATGTCATATCATAAGAAGCTACTTCCAACAAACCACCAACAACTCCATGTTGCTATTTACAATGGGCAGTCCTTAATTTCCTTGACTCTAGACAACAATAGACAGAGCGATCCCTCCAACTTTCTGAAATCGTTTCCTCACTTGCCCTTAGTGACTCCATTTCCAATGCTGTTCTTCCTGCTCATTCTCCAGCTTCCTGTCTCAGCCTCCTGTCATGGTTCCTCTTCCTGACACCTAAACATCCGGAAGCTCAAGATGCAATCCTCAGATTGTCTATCTATAATCACTTGCCTGGGACTCTCTTCCAGTTTTAGAACTTTAAGTATCACAAATAGTGCCCCAAATCTCTACCCTGTAACCTGGACCTAGAGCCCAGACTGCTACCCTCAACTGCAGAATCATGTGTCCAGCTGTCTTACTCCTTGAAGACCAGCCAACTCAACGTGGCCAAAACTGATTTTGATATTCCCCATCATCCCCAAACATACATTCCCCTAGGCCCCACTTTCAGAGCCCTTGATTTAAGAAAATAATTGGGGCTAACTGTATCAGCTTAGAAGGCTGAGGATGAGGAAGGGGTTTATATTTACACATCACAACCTCTGTTCTGATGGTGTACTGTGTGGCCATTTTGTATAACAGGTGACAGTGATGAGGTACACTGGCTTAGATGTGGTTAGCCCGGCACAGTTCAGATAAAGCTAAGTGCAAATTGTTCCACCTTAGGCACATTAAGTTGGTCCTTAATGGAAGGTGTTGACTTCCAAGATCCTCGCTAACCCTAACATCTTCAACCATGTGTCTACTGATACAGCCCAGGTGAGCCCATAAACTTATATCTTAGTCTGTCATTGGGAAATGCTGCTAAGTTTCCTTCCTGTGCCAACATCTTTCCATGAAAATCAGGTAAGTTAGCTCCCATTAAAATATTCCAACAAGGCCTGGCTATTCCAATGTGAGCTGATTAATGACATGTGTGGGCAAAGATTCCACACATTTGGCCATTAACATCTTTAGATACACATGAAATATTTATCGCTCCTCCTTCAAAGCTTCAAAGAAAAATAATTACCAGAAAATTTACTTAAATAAGGTCAATATGGCTTTTTGCTAATCTTCTGAAAGAATGCAAGTAGTAAATTTTGATAAATTCATTACCTTTGCCTCTAGTTTGTGATTCCTACTGTTATGTCTTACTTCATCTTTAAACATTTGACTTCTGATCTTTTCCAGAGTAGTTCGAATCTAGAGGGAGAAAAGAAAATATATTTTTTGCAAATGCATTTAATGCCATATACTCTTAAAAAAATCTATGCAAGCTATAGAATACCTGATTTTTCTAGAAAGTAACATAGTCAGATTTATACAGTGGCCATCACCTTAACTTGAATTTAGGCTGAAATGATTTAGATTGCTGAAAATAAACGTTTGGCCCTTAAATATCTTTTTCAGACAAACTAAGAACCTGAGAAGCTAAATTAATATTATACTACAAAATACTTATTCAGTAATTAGCACTTAATACTATCTATTTGGTTCTATTTTATCTATATAGTAATTTAGTACTAATTTACTGTTTAGTAATTACTATAAAACAATTATTAAATTAGTAATCACTACAAAATAATTACTATTCAGTCATTACTACAAAATAATTACTACCCAGTAATTACTACAAAATAATTGCTATTAAGTAATTACTACAGAATAATCACAAAAAGGAATTCATATAAATTTATGTATGAAATATGAGCCCCATGTTGTGATGACCTATGAAATGGCAAGATACTCAAAGATAATTTAATTAGTTGATCTAAACAAGTTATGAACTATCCATATCAGAGTTTATCCATCTGTTCTAAGAAATGATTAATATAAATATCTCTTTCGTTAGCCCTCATCATCTTGGATTCCTGTAAGACCTCACATTTTTAATGACGTGTAGTCATTAGCAGTAGCTGCCCTGAAGTGTGAAGAGGAGCCAGGTAAGGAGAAAGACACTCAGCGGGAAACATAAACATCTACTTGGGAACACAGTACCAGCACTCATGAAACCACTGGGAAAGGTTATAAAACAGTAGGAAATCCAGCAGAGAACAGCATGGGGCAAATTAAGTGCTGATAGGTGTTCTGAATCCTCCTGGCCCATCACTCAATTTTACTGGGGAAAGAAAATCATTTTACTCCAAGTGTCGGATCAGGTTCATATCCTCAAGAGAAATCACTAACCGTGTGTTCACATTTCAGCTGCCAAGACTGTCCTTTGCCAGGCTAGATCTGTTTCTTTTATACTTTCCATGGAAAGGGAAAAACCAAGCCCACCAACCATACTAGAATTTATCCTAAAAAAAAATCATGCGCAGGTGACTGCCAGCACCCAAATACCTTTTTCACATATTCAGTCTCTTCAATAATGTGAGCTGACGTAGATTCATACAAGGCAGAATCCTCCATCTTTTTCTTTGGGGGAACTTCTGTGGTCACTGTTATTGTTGTCATTGTGAATTCTGGCTTTAAGAAAATATAAATGAGCTGAGAAAAACATACTTTCCCAATTATATGGTCATATGATTCACATACTTATAGGAGGAGTTCACTGTAGTCAAAAGTAGGCAATGCAATCTGCACATGTGGAAAAATAAGAATTCATACCCCATTTGAATCAAATGTATGAAATGTCAAGATCATTGTAATGTTTTGAGCGACTAATAAAAATTTTTTTTAAAAAAAGTTGGCAAAGATGGTGAGTCCTTAGAATCTGTAGATATCCATTAAAATTGAATATGGAAGAAATATCATCCAAAGCAAACATAATTAAAATTTTTGAAAAAAAATCTGAAAGAGGAAAATATGAAATTTCTTTTTCTTTAGCATCATCTTAGAATTATTATTAATCAAGAATAGGGGACATGTGTTATTCATCTTTATTTTCTAGCCTGTTGTTAGTGCTTAAGGAATTTCTGTAGAATTAACAATAGAATTATAGCAAAACCATGTTGTCTTTGCATATATCTTTATATATAGTTTATAAAGTGTATTTATAATTTGTAATAGTGAATGACTGGATTTAAAAAAGACCCAAATGCCCACAGAGATTGATTGGTTAAATTAATCTAATTTATCGTGCAGTTACCTCTAGGATATGTTGTCCAATTAAAGGTATGGTACTGAAAGGAATATTTAGGATCCTACTTTCTGTGAAAAGGTGGGAAATGGTAATGGAAAAGGAAAATTTATCTCTTACACTTTTGATATAGGGCCATATAAATATTTTAAATAACTGAAAAACAGAATTTAAAAAAGAAAAGGCAATCATACAAAATAAAAACAAAATGATAAAATGACTATATCTACATATCAAGTTGATGGCATAGAATTATTTCAAGTGATTCAAAAATACATACCAGTGATGATCTTTGGTGTGCTTTATTTGTTCTAAGAATGAAAAGAATAACTAAAAAAAATCTTAAACTCTATTCATCAATAATAATGTTAGTGGAAAGTTTGGTATTGCTACTTTGAAAGTGTGTGTGTGTGTGTGTGTGTGTTCAGGCAAGCTTCAGTGCATACTGTAGAAAAAAACCAATAAGTAAATGAGTTAATATCATTTAAGAGTCAAGATTCTTTTTTGTCATAACAGAAAAAATAACTCATAGAACCAGAAATGTTAAGTAAAAATCTTACAATGTCACCTAGAATTATGAGTATAAAGCAACGATTTTTTTCCCTTAAAAAATATACATTCTACCTCTATTCACTGAAAATCCTAGAAGCAGTAGCAATTAGCACCCTGGTGGCCATCCTCTGCTCCTTGTGTGTCTTAAATTGCTAAAAAGAAACTCGAGCATCTTGGCTGATCCAGGTTGAGGGCAAGAAATGCATCAAGTAAGTCTGAGATAGTGCATCATCCAGCAAGCAAAAATTTGATAAAACGTTACTTGAATAAGACACAAAAGCCATCCTGAGGAGAAATGACCATGCTGGATGGAAACATCAGAATCCTAAATCCCTAAGTTTATGATGACAGGTGAAATCCCACCAGCAGCAGCCTCCTTGCCCACCTTGGAATTCACTAAGGCTGCAACTCAGTGGAATAAACACCACTATATTACAACCTGGAGGAGGGAAGGAGGGGAGAAAAGAGAGAAAAAAAGGAGTGAGGGAGGGGAAAACAGGAGGAGAAAGGAACCAGCATCTGTCTTGTCTTTACTCTATGAACTAACTGTATTTCATGGTAGCCAAATAGTTGTTGAGGGAAAGGGTTCTAATGAGTTCACAAGGACTGAGGGAAACCCACCACTTCCAGCACCTCTGTGAAATAATGGATCTGAGCAAAAACCATTGACCAAATGAGATGGTGAGGTGGAAGTTCCATGAGGATACATTGACCTGAGAGGCCTTATGCATCAATCTTAACCAAAAAGTGCCATGAATTAAGAGTCCTAAGAGACACAGACCAAATGCAACCTATGAACTGTGCTTGGATCTTGCCTAAAACAAATCAATCGTATAGATACATTTTTGAGACTGACTGAAAAATAGCTGGTTCTAAGGAATCATTTAAACTTTGCCAGCTGTGATAGTGGAAGTATGAGATTCTTTTAGAAGATCTTATATATTAGTGATATATATCGAAATATTTGCAGGTGAAATGATATGTATTTGGAGCTGTTTTAAAACAGCAAGCAGGGGGGCTGGAGTTGTACCTCAGCGGTAGAATGCTTGCCTTGTATGTGTGAGGCACTGCGTTCAATTTCCAGCACCACATATAAATAAAGAAATAAAATAAAGGTCCATCGAAACTAACTAACTAACTAAATAAATAGCAGGGAGGAAAAATGGTGTTGGAATAGAGATGAAAGAAGTTAAGCAAAATATAGGTAATTGTTGATGCTGGATGTTGAGCAAATGGGGCTCATTATACTCTATTTTGGTTTTGCTTTAAATTTCTACAAAAAATAATAAGGAACTAAAAAATAAACTGTAATAAAAAGTGCTGCAAAATAGAATTATTAAACCCATTTTCTGGATAATGAAATCAAGATTCCCATAGTAATATGAACTTACCCAACATACAGTAAATCCAGCGGAGCTAAAAGTCAAACCTTGGACTTTTTGAGACTAAGTTCAGGAGTGTTTCCATCCCATTAAGTCTGGCTTCCCTAGAGAGAAACAACAACAACCAACAAACAGCAAGATGTTTAAAATCGAGCAATGGCCTCTGCTACTAAAAGACAAAGAATTTTCACATTGGCCTATATCACTTTGAAATAAAATAGCCTCTGGGGATACCAAAAAGCCCTGCATTTATCCTCTAATCTTCAAAGAAATTGACAATGCATGCCAAGAATTTTCCATTTTATTATAAATCCTCTTAGACAGCCTCCAGGGCTTCAATTTGCTTTGGCTGAAGTTGAGTGGGCAGCAGTGACTCTGCAGGTCAGCTTGCAAAGACCACAAGTGGAAATGCTTCTCTGACTCAGTCCTCTCCAGTCCAGGATTCAAGACGGGGTCTGAAACAACATTTAAATCTCAAAATCTTAGAGACAATAAGCCATGTGCTCAGAAACCAAAGGGAGGGTGGTCAGGCCAGGGTAGGGATTGGTAAACCATACCTGAGACCCCAAACTATCCCCTACCTGCTTGTGTAGTCTGTGAGCTGAGAGTGGTTCTTACGTTTTTAATGATTCAAACTAAAAATTCAAAAGACTTACATTCCATGACACGTGGAAATTATATGAAGATCAAACTTCGTGTCCACAAGTGAAGGTTTGTTCTAAGGCAACCCTGCATTGGTTTGCATTTGGGGATGAGTATGTGCAACAGAGGACTTTCATGGCAAGTCAAATCTGAAATAGTCACTATCTAGTCCTTTCCAAGAAAAGTGTGCTGACCCTGGGAATAGCAGGGGTGGAAAAGATGGGAGAACTAGAAACTATCTGGCCTGGACCAAGGTTTTCCTCCACTTCAATCTCCCTGGATCTATAAACCCACTTGACTGATTTGCTTTCATTTTTCTTTTTGTCAGTTATGCATTGTGAAAATTGACAAATGAGCAGAGGTACTTCATCACGGGGCACCATCTCTCTGTAGAAAGGATCCGGCTACATTCCCAATCTTCATAATTGGACTTCATCTCGGGCCAAAAGCCATGTATACACAAAGATACTCTCACCCATTCCTTTTATTGTTAATATCAAAGAATTCTGCTCCTTGACGCCTGATATTTCTCAAAAATACCACCTTTTCCACTCACTGGTTAAAAGGGTTGCCTGCGACCTCAGCCTTAACTTACACATCTGTAACATAGAGGAAAACACCTAGGGTTGTGAACATGGGTTGTTATTTAATGTCTGATGGTAAAGGTACTCAAAGGTTAGTAAATATCAATATTGCTGCAATTCTTCTTTTATGCTATTGGTCATCACAAAAGACAATTGGCCCATAACAGAGGAGGCAGTTCACACCTCTTTGGTCACAAAGCTTTCCACCCAGCTATATCCATACGAAGTTAAACTCCATTTCTCTCTTTGGTTGAGAAAACTTTTGTGCCCACAGTCTCTGCTTTGTTTAAAGAAACCCAAGGGGGAACATGAGCCAGCCGAGTCCAAATCACCATATGGCATTACCATCCTGGGGAAAATCCATGTTAGCATTTTATTTCAGCCAGAAGTAGATTAGGCAGATAAAATTTTCAAAATAAAACACAATCAGTTAATTAAAGTGAGGAAAGACTTTATTTGTTTTATGCTAGAATGGATTGAGACGGCTTATGAGCGGCATCATGCCAAGGGGAGTGCTTTCCTAGATGAAGGCTTTTCAAAGGGACTCGCAGGGAGGAGAGGGGTTGCTAAGGAGAAAGGGCTCTGTTCCCTTAACTTCAACCAAGGCAGCTTGGCTTTGTCCATCATATACTGAATTTTTCCACAAGGCTTTCTGTGAAGAAAGAACGTTCAACAGCTAAAAGGTTTATAATAGGCAGCCTGCCCAGTTTCATGGCCTGATTCTGCTACCCAATAGCTGTGTCACTTGGGCAAGTTCCTTAACCTCTCTGTGCTTCAGTCTCATTAACAGTAAGATTCAGATAATATTAATTATTAACAATAATAATCAACATGGGGTTGTGTGTGAGTTAATATTTGTCAAGCACTTAGCACATATAATACATAATAAATGATCTGCACATGTTTGTCAAATGAGTAAATAAAATATGAGACCATTATCCATAATTAAGGTTGACAAGCAGTTTTTCTTCCCTGTAGGGAAGAAAAACAGGTAATATTTTAAATAGTCTCTACACTGAGATGGGCTATAAAGAAAAATTTGCTTTGGGGGATTTTAAGACCAGCAAATCCATGATACTGATTCTTTATTGCTAATGCATCAATAATTTGTCAACATCCCAACCAACGATGCTAGCATCTAATGAATAGTTTACAACTTACAAAGCAAAGCACATACATTACTGTGAATTGTAGTCTGTGTGATAAATCAGCACGTTACTGGACACCTAGGAATATAACCAAACCCGCTGCAGTGTTTGATGAACTGAGAATAGCTAAAGAATTACATAATAAACCCTAGAAGGCTTTGTTACAGGTTGAAATAGTGTCCCCCCCCCCTCCAAATGCACATGTTGATGTCCTTACCCCTGCTATCTCAGAATGTGACCTGACTTGGAAACATGGTCATTGTAGATGTAATTAACTAAGAGGAGGAGATGCTGTAGCCGGGTGGACCCTTCCTGCAGTTTGGAGGGAGAATTTTCCTGCAGTTTGGAGTCCACAGGGAGAAGGCTATGTGAAGGCAAAGGCAGCCATCCGGGTGATGCTTTTACACCCCAAGGGATGCCTGAGACTGCCAGAGAACAGCCAGATGCTAGGGGACAAGCATAAAACAGACTCCCACCCAGCCCTGGAGGGAACCAGCCCAGCACACCCCTTGATCTCAGACTCACAGCCTCCAGAAACGTGAGGTGATCCATTTCTACCTGAAAGCGTCAGCACATGGCGCCTGGTGAGAGCGGCCTGGGAAACCAGCACAGCGCTGTTTATTGTCTTGAAACTACAACAAGGGCGTTTCCTCTCTTGGCCTAACCCTTGACTCATTCTTTCCTATAGTAAACATGTTTTGAATACCACTGGGTTAGGGACTGTGGCTACCAGGGTTGAGCCAAAGGCCTGGTTTCCAGGGGACTTTCAGGACAGAGGGGAGACAGACAGGACATGAACAAGTAAATATGGGAGGCGGTGGCAGTGGCATGAGTAAAGCAGATCAGAGGAGCAGAATACAAGGAGATGCTGTTTGGGATTCGCCGTGAGGGACTGACACTGGGGAGAAGGACTGGACTGAAAGAATGTCCGCAGGCGGTGTGGCCACCCGGCGAGGACCCCAGGCAAGGGCAGAAGCAGGAGCAGAGGCTGAAGTTCCCTCACAGTCGCACTCTCAGAAGAACACCACGGTGCGTGGCGCAGCCTACCACTGTCTCTTCTTTTTCTCTTAATGTTGCAGGGTTTTTGGTTTTCTTTTTCTTTGAGTAGATTGAAATGTGTTAAGATGTCCAATTTGCCCAAGGAGTCACCTCCTTAGCACATTAAAACAGCCCTGCCTGGCATGGGTCCCCAAGAGCTGAAAGGCAGGCAAGACGCAGCCCTCAGATGCTTCACCGTGAGCCCAGAAAGGGCAGTAACGCCCCCTGAGCACCCAGGGGCACCCCAGCTCTCTTCTCCAGGTGGCCCCCGTGTTTGGCGATCCAGCACCGGACTCTCCTTCTCAGATATCGGAACCACCATCCGCATGAGTCTTGAAGCAAGTGTCCCTTGCTCATTTGTCCCTGCCTGGAGTTAGAGCATAGTTAGCTACAACACCAAGACTCAACAAGCCGAGTGCTGCCCCTGGAGATGTGACTTGAGGACTAGCCCTCTGGCTTAGTGACACTGGAGACCATGAAAACCCAGTTCTCATTCAGGGAAGGGAAGGACTCTAACACAGAGTGGTGCTTTATGGCCTGTGGCAGGAGTACCAGTGGTGGCAATCAGTGACCTGTGGTGGTGCCAGAGGGACCCTAACCTGCTTTTCCTGCTGCCTGATCTTGCAGTGGGATGATAAGCACACCAGATCCTCCCACCTTCCAAAGCTGGTTTTCTAACTTTCCCATCAATTCTGGGAGCTACTCCACATACCTTGCAGTCAATTCTTTATCTGCCATGTCATTAGTCAGCTACTCTGGTTTGCAGTCAGGAGCTCTGATTGGTTTTAGCGCCATCTCTGGGTTTTGGTTTTTAGTTTCTCAGCCCTGAGCTGACAATACTATTGCTTTGCTCTTGATCTCTATCATACAGAGCTTAGAGATCAGGAGCCCTAAAGCAGGTTACAACTGAAGCACCACTGGCTCTTTATTAGGTTATGAGTAGGGGAGCTAGCATCCCTTCAAGTCCTCAGAGAGAATGGCCTTGCCCTGAATCTTTAGCAGCACACCTGTGCCACAGCTACATTACACAGCACAATGGTGACATCCAGTGTCAGCTGGCTCCATCTCAGGTGACTGAGCAGCTTACCTAGAAATAATACACACTACACCAAACACGTGCCTGTTCTCACTGAACCCCACTTCTGTCTGCCAGTCTTTGTGGAGGTAATTCATTCTTCAGTAGATTTAACTTCATTCGACCACGTGCTACTCTCTCATTGGTACATACACATAAATTTACTCCTATATAAAACTCTTAGATATGAAATATGGCTATTTATTTTATAGGGAAAAGGAATTAAATATTAGTGCAAATACTATGTACAAATACATACTGTTAAAAAAGTGCTGTACCACTTACCAAAGAATCATTTTCCATATATTGTCACAATCAATCATTACAATACTACCTTATAGGCATGGTCCTCATCACGGAATAAGTGCAACCAAAGCAAAGAGGAACGATACAATTTTTTCATCATAACCTGAACTCAGACAGACTGACCTCAAGTCCAAATGTCTTTGTACTGAAACAGGCTATACAGTCTGATTTCAAACTATGAAACAGCTGAAGGTGTCAGTCAGGGCCAGCTCAACAACTAGGTTACAAAGAGATACAAATCATATGAGCCCCTCTCATTCAGGAAGGAGGGTGTGAGAGAGGATCTTTGGAGTGCCCAGGATCTGTGGAGT